CTGGAAACGTACATTTCCCTTGTAAGAACCTCAGAGGAGACCATAATCTTGGCCAAAGTCTTGACTGCATTCTTCGAAGACTCCAATCAGAGGAGCCCCTTAAGCCAGGAGCAGATTCCTGGTCTGAAGAAACCGTGAGATGATCATGCATATTGCCATTAGTTTTGTGGTATTAGTGTTACTCAGCAATCTTAACTCTCCTTGAGTTGTTACCACAAAATACTAAAGACTGGGTGGCTTAAACAACAGATATTTATTTCCCACAGTTCTGGAGGCTGGTCCATCTAAGATAGCCCAATTCTATTCCTGGTGAATGTTCTAGACCTTGTATAGCTACCTTCCTGCTGTGTCCCCTAAGATAATAGTGATGTCTGAACTCTTCCTCTTCTTAAAGGGCAATTATCCTATGCTGGGGGCTCCAGCCTCATGACCTCATCTAAATATAATTACCTTTCAAAGGCCCCATTTTCAAATGCCATACTTTGGGGAGTAGAGTTTCAGAATCTGAATTTTGTAAGGACACATATATTCACTCCCTAGTAACAATGGTAAATGATTAATACATGACCTTTATGAAATTGGGTTCTGCATCATTTAGTTTACTTGTATAAAAGAAACTTTGATAATGAAGACAAATTCCAATTAATAAAATTTAAGCACTTGGGCCACCCTCTGCTGCCTTCCCAGGCATATCAGCAGGGAGCTGGACTGGAAGTGGAGCATCCAGGACTCAAACTGGCATCCATATGGGTTGCGGGCTCTGCAGGCAACAGCCTCACCTGCTGTACCACAGTGCTGGCCCCAAGATTTGGGTTTTTAAAAACTCACCATCTCTTCCCATTTAGCTTTCTTCACATCATCCTGTGGGAACTGAGGTTCAGGGAACCAACAAAAAAAAAAAATACTGATGTTCTCCTGTTTGTGTTGTAATAAACTATTTTTCATCTGTAACTCAGAAGTTTGATGGCTGGGAACTAGAGTAAAATCTCAAATTCTTCAGAATATTTGGAAAACTATAAAAACTGTACAGAACTTATTTATCAATTCAAAACTGAAAAGTCCTTTTGACAGAGGCAGACCCGTGAGTCATATGCAAAAATCACCTTGCTTGCTTTTGTTAGACTATCTGAAGTCTACCACCTAGTAACTAGAGGAGAATTTAGACCTGTAATTCTTTTCTCTCAACATATGGTGTCACCCCTGCCCCACTAACTCCAGCTGCCCATGCTTAACTTGGTCAAGTCTCCACACTTGGGTTCAGTTAGGCATGAAAAATGAAAAAATGGTTAAAATCCTTTTTAAAAAAGATTTATTTCTTTTGAAAGGTAAATTTACAGACAGATAGGGAGAGATAAAGAGAGAGACATCCTCTATCCACTGGTTCGCTCCCCAAAGGGCTGCAATGAGCAGTGTTGAGCCAGGCCAAATTCAAGAGTAGGAAATTCACTGGGGTATCCCACAGGGGTGACAGGGGTCCAAGGACTTGGGCCATCTTCTGCTGCTTTCCCAGGCACATTAGCAGGGAACTGGATCAAAACTGAAGCAGCTGGGTTTTGAACTTGTGTCCCCATGGAATGCCAACATGGCAGGAAGTGGCTGAACCCACTATGCCACCACACCAGTCCCTAAAAATACCTTTATCGTGGAAGATTTTACAAAGTATTTCCTTAGTTGTTCCTTGTTATATTGCCAGGGCTGTTACTTTATTCATAAAATGGCTGTCTGGTGCCATTGGTAGCTAATGTTCTCATTTAGTACCTTTAGCTTGGTGATTAAGATGCCAGCTGGGACACCCACATCCCCTCTTGGAGTGCCTGGGTCTGAGTCCTGGCTCTGCTCCTGATTGCAGCTTCCTTCTAATATGTACCCTAGAAGGCAGCAAGTGATGGTTCAACCATGTGAGAGTCCTGGATGGAGTTCCCGGCTCCCAGCTCTGGTCTGGCCCAGCCCCAGCTGTTGTAATGTTGTAAGCATTTGGGGGTAAACCAGAGGAACAGGATCTCTCTCTCTCTCTCTCTCTCTCTCTCTCTCTCTCTGCCTTTCAAATCAATAAATAATTTTAAAGAGAATGTTGGGGGCTGGCACGGTGGTGACTCATGGTAAAGCCACCCCCTGCAGTGCTGGCATCCCATATAGGCGCCGGTTTGTGTCCTGGCTGCTGCACTTCCAATCCAGCTCTCTGCCATCGCTTGGGAAAGCAGTAGAAGATGGCCCCTGTACCCACTTGGGAGACCCGGAAGAAGCTCTTGGCCCAGCTCCAGCCGTTGCGGCCAATTGGGGAGTGAACCAGTGGATGGAAGACCTCTCTCTCTCTCTCTGCCTCTCTTTCTCTCTGTGTGTAACTCTGACTTTCAAGTAAATAAATAAATCTTTTTTTTTTTTAAAGAGAATGTCAGATATTTTTTAAAATGTCCACCAAAGTCACCATTTCAAGTCCTGCTGCCTATTAATTTAGCAATTGTAGCAATACCATAGAGTACCAACTCCACTTAAAAGAGTCGAGTATTGCTGGTTAAAATCAGAATTGAGAAGTTGATCTGAAACATACCAAGCAAATTAACCTTAGTTACCACTGTAAAACAAATTGTTGAATCCCATCTTTTACTTGGTCCCATATGCCCACCTAGTTCAATTTAATTATCTCTAATGACAGCTCTCAAGAATTGTTGTATTTTCCCTGAGGAAAGTAGGTTATTTTGGCCGGTGCCGCGGCTCACTAGGCTAATCCTCCGCCTGCGGCGCTGGCACACTGGGTTCTAGTCCCGGTCGGGGCGCCGGATTCTGTCCCGGTTGCCCCTCTTCCAGACCAGCTCTCTGCTGTGGCCCGGAAGTGCAGTGGAGGATGGCCCAAGTCCTTGGGCCCTGCACCCCATGGGAGACCAGGAAAAGCACCTGGCTCCTGGCTCCTGCCATCGGATCAGCGCAGTGCGCCGGCCGCAGCGCGCCGGCTGCGGTGGCCATTGGAGGGTGAACCAACGGCAAAAAGGAAGACCTTTCTCTCCGTCTCTCTCTCACTGTCCACTCTGCCTCTCTGCCTGTCAAAAAAAAAAAAAAAAGTAGGTTATTTAGATTTTTCATGAGGTAGAACAGGAAACAATAAATTTCATGTGTGTATTCCTACTCTTCCTTTAATGCCAAATGTAGGCCATCTCACAAGTCTAAAGACATTCAGGGTGGGAAGAAAAGTGAAGAATAAGGATAATGTTAAAAAAAAAAAATCAGAAGTTGACCTTAAAGCTTACTTGCTCATAAATTAAAAACTAAAAGAAAAAGTAGCCCACATGTGTGGGCTACACACATGTCTGAAACAAGATGCAAATTAAGTAGCTGGAAATAAATGACTAAATATTCACTCATTCTTTGGTCCTTCTCTCAAGGGAAGGAGAATATTCTGTCTTGGAGAAGCAGTTGTTGAAGAGTACAAGCATCACAGTGCTCAGGAGGAAACTGAGGGTTTGTTCATTTCATGCACACAGCAGGTTAAAGGAAGTGTGCGGCGGAGACAAGGTTGCTACCCAACCTTTTTGCCTGAGGTTTGGCAATACTAGTTTACCTGCCACAAGTCACAGAGAGGGCGAGTTGTCACAGCAGTACCTGTGCTCTCTTCACTAAAGCAAAGAAGCAATAAACAAAAAGTGAGAATTTGATACAAAAAGGTACTAAGAAAACTAACCTTAGAGTTGCCCCTGAAAACAAATGGGTAAAAAGATCTTAATTGCAGAAAACCTGTTCTATCTTTTGATCTATAATCTGCATATTCAGCTTATCACAATCCTCTTAACTCCCTAAACTGTCTTAGATATTTATATATCCCCCACACACCAATAGTTTCCAAGCTAAATCGCTGAAATAGACTCATAGACACAAACATGGGTTAGGTGATACTGAAAGTTTGAATACCAAAACAGCTATTACCAGGCAGCTATTGAACAATGCTCCCAAATCCTGCTGTAAAAATCAAGTTCATTCCCTGTGTGTAACAGTTCTCTGCAAGACAACATTCAATGACTATGTTTACCATATTGCAAATAACGTGGGCACCACTTTATTACTTTACCTAACTGAAGTCAAGAAATACCAAACAGGAGGTACTTTTCAATTTTATTAATGATGTTCAGCAAATCCATGACTGAACAATTCATAATGGAATCCATTGGCAAGGAGTTATACACACAAATCAGCTGAGGAGTTAACACCCAAGGTGGGCAGGAGAGGCACGTGGGCTTCGAGGACCTTTCTCCGCTCCCCAACCCCAACACTTGTGGATTGGATTGTGCAGATGTCTTTGCCTGATTGTTAACTAACTCTATGAAAAAAATGGTCAAGGACAACAGTAGGTAGGGGACAGGAAGAAGGCAGGTGATGACCCTGAGTGAAAAGATGGGAAACCAGTGTTAGTCAAAGGAGCTGGCTTTCACTAGTGCTTTCTCTTGTTTGGCTGAGACAAGTCATTTCACCCTCTTAGGGTTCAGTTTCGATATTCGTAGCGGGTGGAAAGATTGAGAGCTCTCTTAGTTGTTTTGCTGTTCTCATCCTAGGTGAATCCTAGCAAGATGGTTGACACCTCTGGCGACCTCTGTTTTGTTTTGAGACTTATTTTATTTGAAAGGCAGTTAGAGAGGGAAAGACAGAGAGCTCTTCCCTTGTTGGTTCACTCTCCCAACGGTTGCACCAGGCCAAAGCCAGGTTCAAGAGCTTCATCTGGATCTCCCACATGAGTGCAGGAAGCCCAAGCACTTGCATTATTTTCTGCTGCTTTCCCCTAGGTGCATTATCAGGGAGCTGGATCCGGAGTGGGGCAGCCGGAACTCGAACTCCCGTCCACATGGGACTCCACCATTGCAGACGACAGCTTATGTCGCTGCGCCAGAAGAGCAGCTCCTCGCCTTTCAATCGGCTTCTCTGCGCATGCGCCGAGGAAGCAGCCTCCCCCTGACCTCAATTTCACCTCTTCTGCGCAGCCGTCGTTTAATCCCTCGGCGCTCCGGAGGAGGAGGGCGGGACTTCCTGTCCTGTTTAGAGCGACCGCGGAAGTGACTGCGGACGAATCGGCTCTGCAGAGGCTGCGAGTTTAGGGTGTCTGCGTTTTAGCTGCTTTCGGCGAGAAAGATGCCGGGTCTGGCGGCCGCAAGCCCTTCCCCGTCTGAGCCTCAGGAGAAGAAGCCGCTGAAGCCCTGCTGCGCCTGCCCGGAGACCAAGAAGGCGCGCGATGCGTGGTCAGTGCGCCGCCGGGAGGGGTTCCGGTGCCTCTGCCGCTAGCCCTCGCCTTGCTGTTCCGTGCTCCACAGAGACGTAGAGAGCCCCGTAGGTTTCGCAGTCGGCCACGTGTTGACTGAACCCTTAGCCCAGTGCGAGGGGACGCTGAATGGAGGAGAGAGAGGTTAGATTGGCCCCGGGTTCTGTTCACGCCCTCACTCCTTCCGATAGATGGCTGCTGACCTTCTGTTAGGAGTTAAGCACTGCCTTAGGTCCAAAACTGTAGAAAAGGGTAGACACTGACTTAAAGGAGCTTAAAGTTAATGGCCACTTACACCAGTAATTGCTATGTCATGGAAAGGCCTATGCTAGAGGATTTGGCAAGATTAAAGAGTAAACGTGTTCTGGTAATTTCTAAGGCTTTCTCCCCAAATCTAGAAAAAAATAGGCCACTGGACCCATTGCTTATAGTTCCAGAAGGTTCACCTTCAACCCTTTGAAGGCAACCCGAAGTTAAAAAAAATCAACCAGTCTGTATGATCAGCCTGCCTGTCGGTTCAAAACAGCGCATTTAAATTATCATCCATACACAAAAGGTCTTGTTCCTTATCGTCTTATGTAACCACTATTGTAGAACAAATCTCTTTAGCCAGAGGCCTCAGGTGCTGTGAATGTGCACTTCTCCCTCCAGCTCTTTTGTGTCTTCATAAAGCAGGGAAGTCCTAAGTGGTATCAGGGGGTAACAAGAGGGTAGGAGCTCAGTGCCTCTGTTATAGTCGGTGCTTTGCAAATAGGACTGTGAAGAGAATTGGAAGGCTGCAGTCTCCTACTGAAATTGCTCCCGTGTTAGCAGTAAGTGCTTACGGAATGTGTGGACAGTACAGCATCATGATTAAGAGCCAGGGATCCAGAGTCGAGGTTTGAACCCTGAACCACCAACTTGGTGACCTTGAGCAAATTATTTAATATTTCTGCCTCATGTGTTTGTAAAATAGGCCTAATAAAAATATCTACCTAACAGTCACTGTAAAAGTCAATGATAAAAGCCACATCAAGTGCCTGACACAGTATATATGGCTGTTACTTTGATAAGGAGCTCCGTGTCCCTGGCAGTACTTCATTTGAAGGCAGCCTTTTGAGCTTTTGAAGGATGAGTGGGAAGAACCTATTCCCATCTTTAAATTCTTGTTGCATGAATTGTCTCTGGTGACTGTGACTTTTCCCCACATAGCTGTAGTGAGGAATCAGTTTTTTCTTATACTTGAACTTGGGTTGATATTATTTACAAAAATTACATATTTTTGAAAGATTTATTTATTTATTTTAAAGGCAAAATTACAGATAGACAAAGATCCTCCATCTGCTGGTTCTCTCCGCAAATGGCCTCAATAGCCAGGAGCTTCCTCCAGATCTCCATAGTGGGTGCAGGGGCCCAAGCACCTGGGCCGTCCTTTGCTGCTTTCTCAGGTGCATCAGCAGGGAGCTGGACTGGAAGTGAAGTGTCCTGGACTCAAACCAGCACCCATGTGGGATGCCGGCATTGCAGGTGGTGGCTTAACTCACAATGCCGCTATGCAGGCCCCTAAAATTACATTTGCATAGCTGATTATTTTCTAAAATTTGCATTTTCAGATCCTAGAAATAAAGCTGTGAGATTTTAGTCTTTACTTTGTGCTCTTCATTTAGGATAAATATGGTATTCATTCAGCTTATTTCATTATATAGCAGTGTTACTCCTTGGACTAGAAGCAATACTTGATATGTCTAAGTATTTCTTCTCATCATACTCCCCCTAAACCTACTTACCTGTGGAACATCTTGGAAGGTGTGGAAGCAATAACAATATCAAATAAAAACAAAGCTGTTTTGCTCTATAGCGTTTTAAATTGTTGTGTTCCATCCTATCCTTGTTCTGCCTCACTCCCCATACTGCATGCTTATTTATTGTGTTTAATGCCTACTTGGTTATGTGACAAGTACATTTTGTTTATAGCATCATCGAGAAAGGAGAAGAGCACTGTGGACATCTAATTGAGGCCCACAAGGAATGCATGAGAGCCCTGGGATTTAAGATATAAACGGTGAGCTTACTGTTTCTCTATTGCTTTACAGATTTAGCAACCATTGGGCAACGTGCTCTCAGAGGTAGTTCACCTGGTTAAGGGTAATATGCTTAAATATCACTAAAAAACCACAGCTCTCAGTATAGGAGCAGATGTTGCTGACAAATTGGGAGGCATTTATTGGATTTAGGAAGGGGAGAATCTAGCTTTCAAGAAGAGGTTTGACAAAAAGCTTTTGGATTCAGTGGGACCAACAGCTGACAGCCGTAGTAAGTTCAAAATGTTTCATTGTCCAGCTTAAAGGAACTGAAAGGAAAATGTTCTCTGTTTCTCGTCTCCAGTGTTGCGGTATTCAGTATTTTCAGTAGGAAGTAGGTAACAAAGGGAAGTCCTGCTGTCTGCGAGAGGGAAAGGGGACTGTGGCTGTTTCTTTTGTACCATGCATCATTCTCATAAAACTGAACTCCACACCATTTTTGAACTTTGAATCAAAATTTTTATGCTTAAAGGGACCTTAAGTGATGTGTATCCAGTAATACCACAAATAAATTATTTTCTTTTCTTTGGAAGCTCTTTCTGTATTTATTGACTTAGGTCACTCCCCCACTTCATTCAGGTCTCTATTCACAAAGAATGGATGTTCTGTTTTTTCATTTATGGATCCCTTTGGTCGACTTTCATGGGAATTGTTCTGGATTTTTTTTTTTTTTTACATTCCATTCATAATTTGCATCTTATGAATAATCTTACCTCTTAATAAATTACAAAGAAGGTATGTACTTATCCAATTAAAAAAAAACTTGTTATCCCCTCCCTCTACACCTCCTCCTGTAAACTGGCATCCCTTTCCCCTCATTCCTTTTTAGTACTGTCCAATATAATGTTCTGTGATGATGGAAATGTTCTGTATCTGCACTGTTCCAGTGTGGTAGCTGCTTGGCTAGTGAGACTGAGGAACTGATTTTTTTTTTTAAAGATTTATGTATTTATTTGAAAGTCAGAGTTACACACAGAGAGAAGGAGAGGCAGAGAGAGAGAAAGAGAGAGGTCTTCCATCTGCTGGTTCATTCCCCAGTTGGTCACAATGGCCAGAACTGTGCCGATGCGAAGTCAGGAGCCAGGAGCTTCTTCTGGGTCTCCCACACAGGTGCAGGGGCCCAAGGACTTGGGCCATCTTCTACTGCTTTCCCAGGCCATAGCAGAGAGCTGGATTGGAAGTATAGCAGCCGGGACTCGAACCAGTGCCCATATGGGATGCTGGCACTGCAGTCGGTGGCCTTACCGGCTACGCCACACTGCTGGCCCCCTGAATTATTAATTTTAAAGCGTTTTAAAGCTACAAGTAGCTAGTGGCTACTCTTAAACTCCATCACCTGTGTATTATCGGTTTTTGTATCTGCTTGCTTCACTCCAACTAGAATGTAAACTGAGAAAGTAATGATTTTCTGTATGGCTCAATGTCATATCCCTTATAATTTTCACAGTACTTGGCACATACTAGGTGCTCAATAGAGTATTATTAATTAAATGGGTGACTAATTAAGGAAACTAAGGCTTGTAGTTATGAAATGGCTACAAAGGTGGGTTAAGCAGGCTCAGAACTGGAGCCTTGGTCTCCAGGCAGACTTTCCTGCTATGTCCCTCCCTGAATATATGCACCGCACTGCCACTTTTAACTTATTAATAGCCAAGCGATAATGTGAAGCCACATACCAGTGTAATAGTAATAGAGAGCCTGGCTTCTTTCCCTTTCACCTCTCTCCTGCCTCTTTGGAATTTCATGTATGGCCAGTTAATTGTCTTCAGTGAGGTATGAAAGAGAAGGGATAAGGGCTCGGCCACAAGCTGATAAATGTATGACCATAGTGGAAAACAGTGTAGTCTGGAGACCTGTGGCTTCATTTGGAGTCTCCTGATGTCTCATTTAGCATGGTTTTCACTTTAGCTACATTTAACTTTCATTAAACACTAATCCTCTTTGGATATTACTTTTTTCATTTATAAAAGGAAAGCACACATGATCTCTATATAGTATATCTACTACCATGTATACATAATACATTTACATGGCTTTTAGACTAGATAGTTAAATAAATCCCTTGGTGAATCGTTTTGTAAAATAAATAAATTTAAGGTAGAGTGCATCCTTCATAGCAGTGATCATCAGAGTTTCTGCATTCAAGATTTAGATTGTAATGTTATTCCTCAATAAATGGAGAAATTTTTTAAAAATTTTTAATATTTTTTATTAATGTGCAATATTGGTACATTTTCATGGGGTACAATGCACTGCTTCGACACATAGACACAGCTCCTCTCTTCAGTTGTTTATTCAGAATATAATACATTATCGTGAACTGTGGTTTCCCTAGTGCTCTAGTGTTCTGCAAAGTAGATCTTGATTGTACCTTGAACTCAGTTGATTAAGAGTAAATCTATTATACATGTTCTATACTTCATATAAAAGTAGACTGTGTTCAGCCAGTAGTTCTTACACAGAGGTCGTACTTCACAGTCACTTGAGGAACATTTTATAGAATGCACAAGCCTGGGCCTCACTCTGTATTTGTTGACTCAGATGCTCCTAGATGATTTTCAAGTGAGCCTCTCTTTAATAGCTATTTGTTTAAGCTAAAGAATGAATAGTAGTAGTGATCATGTTAAATATAAATTATAGTGGCAAAGGCAGAGACTTAAAAACTACAAAGGGAAAACAGGTACAATAGTGGTAATTCTAGACAGTTTTTTCTATCTTACGACTGTACCACTGAAAGAGAAAGTGGATGGACCCAGAACCTGACGAAAGTATGAGGAGGATGCAGCTGGTCTTTGGTGCAGCAGTTAGGATGCCTGTTGGGTTACCTAACTCCCATATGGGAGTACCTGGCTAGAGTCCTAGTTAAGAAAAGATTAATAACTATATATATAAAAGGAGGCAAAGGGCACATAGTATTTTTCTGCCTTCAGTAATCAGAAGAAACCTGGAGAACCCAGTGTGGAGGCTAATGTTACTGAAAGAAATTAAAGGACTAGCACTGAAAGTAGTGATACTCAGTATTTATTAACTTTAAACTCAATACTTGGATTTTTAAAATATGCTGATTTCACACATAAAAATAAGCAACTATTTATGTGTGAAAATGTGGTCCTGACAAAAAGCTCATTTCTGCCATTCAAACATTTATTCCTTCAGTAGGTATTAAGACCCTGGGAAATGCCAAGATGAGAAAGTTGACCCTTTCTGTCAAAGACTTTACACCCAGAGATAACAACCAAGTTGACATCCAGGGGCTTTCATGGGGTGGGCTGCTGTCATTGAAATGCTGAGTGGCTTCATTTTTGGTTATCTTTCCTGCCCAGATTTAGAAAAAGACAGTTTGGATGTTTGTATCTTTATGAAGCTTATCTTCTTATGTAAACCAAATGAAGGGGAGGGCTAGATGGGGAGAAAGTATTTTCATAAGACTTGAAGAGTTGACTAGCCCAGTTGAATGATCTCTGTAGTGTTTGTTGTGAGCAAGAGGCTGGGGGAGGGAGAGTGTAAGGTGTGTGGAGAGAAACCTTGTACAGACCTACAGACCTACTGGACCAGCAGCCCCACCCATGCGACACTCCCTTTCTGATCTTTCAAAATGGATTTTCACATGGTTGCCCTTATTTTGCCCTTGTGATTAAGTGAGTAACTTTCCACAGGAAGTATCTTGTGTACTGAGCTGACCTTCTGTCTTCTAATTTGTGGATCTTAGCCAAACATACTTAAATCAGCCAAGAGAGGAGTTTGCAAGTCTCTTCTCTTGAGTATCTGTAAAAATAAACTGCCATAGCCTTTTTTGGAAGATATTTTTGAGAAGATAAAGATATCTATGTATATAGAAATTTATTTACGAGTATTATTTTTATTTCAGAATGTCTAAACATTAAACACTGTAATGCCTTGAACAGTTTTAATGATGTTTTAGTTAGGCAAAACTAGAATTTAAAAATGAAGTTCTTTGATTTTGTGAGAAAAACTGTGGCAGTTGGTTAATAACACTTAATCAAGGTGCTTTTATCTAGTGATTTTCATTCCCTAACTCCATGGGTCTATTAGATGTTGGAAACCTGACTTTCTAAAATGAGTATTTTTTTTGCAGGTGATCTGCTCTGTGAATGAATAATCCCTGAAGAATGAAGAATAAATAATTTTGGGAGTTCCTTAGTGAGCTTTAGAAAAAGTATTTATAATTTATTAAAAAAAGGAAAATATAAAAAATCTTCAGGTGTGTTTCTTTTTGTGTACCTCACATGCTCATATTGCTGTTTGATGTGTGTGTGTCTTAAGGCATATAGCAGCAAATCTTCTAACATGAGTTTCTTATGTTCTTGTTACTGTGTCATTCTGGAAACTTTGGATGTTTGTGGTGGAGAGAAACCGGAGGCAGGTCTCACCTGATGAAACCTCCACAATTAGGTGCATGGAAGTAGGAATAAATAACCCTCTACCAATTGAGAATGAATGTGCTGGCCATATCATCTAATTCAAGACTCACATTTTGTTTTTCATGTTTAGTTTTCATAAGGGAAAGAACTAGACAAGACTGTCTTGAATTTTGAAGCCATTTTTTTTAAAACTAGTTTTGTCATTTTGAAAATTTTGTTTAGATTTTGGACCAGAGTAGGGTGATTTGGCTTAGAAGACCTTAGCTGTTTGTGTAACTAATCTGTATATAGCTAGTTACGCTTTAGGATAGACCAGATTGTAAGTTTAGTGCCTGGAGGACAAATAGTTGAAGTTAGAGGCTGGATTTATTCCAGTAATTAATTAAGTAGCTCATGCTATCCTATAATGATACCTGGTGGGACAGAGTGCAGTTCTTTTAGTGTGGGAAGTAACCTTGTGGTCTTCTTAGTTGCTTATGGTCTAATGAAACAGTTGATCCTATTGTGCCTTTAAGTACACTGAATTTAAAATCCCAAGGACAAAAGTTACTGAGGATGTATACTGTTCATGTGTTATTGTATGATGGGAAAATTGCCTTCTCTATAAAATAAAAGCTGAATTAAATGATTTCTTACGATTCCTTCCTAATTAAGAGTCTGGCTTTCACACTTAGGTTCAGTAGCTGGCTGAGTGGAATCAGAAACACTTCCTGGTATCTGTTCTTACTTGAAAAAAAGATGAACAAGGATAGAGATAGTACTAATTAACAAGATTGTAAGTGCTAATTACAGTGATTTATTTACAGCCTTTGGCACAGTATCTAGCACTTAGTATTGTTTAGACATTCTCTAGTTCTCTGATTCTGTGTTCATACTTTTACTTGAATATCCATTTGGATATATAATACTTTTAGTAAGCACTTGATAGTTTATAGAAAAATCTTCTGGGTAAAGAACAGAATGTTGAACTTCTAAGACAAATATGAATCAACTTATCACATAATAGAGAGATTCTTAGCAAGTGGTTATCCAGACTCTGAATATGTCCTGGGACTATAAAAAACACAAATCCATAACCTTGTCACCCAGTGTTAACTGTTTTATATGTGGTGTTCCAGACTTTTCCTATGTATTATAATTTTTTAAATCAAGAGGAGCTCATTTTTCTAGGTTACATTTTTTGATGAGATTATAATGTTGCTTGCTTTTTCCCCTTGATATATTTTACCAACAGTGAGCATAGTACTACAATGTTATTAGTATTGACTGTTGTCCGGCTTACCATAATTTAACCCATTATGGTTTTTTTTCCATTATATATTGTTTGTACATTGACCCATTCAACAAGTGTGAGAAAAGGAAAAAGATGAATAGGATAAACAAATGTTTTATAGAGTGTCTGTGATGTGTCAGATACCATTCTGGGAATTAGGTCCTAGTATGGAATAAGATACATAGGAAATATATGGATTCTGGATTTTAAAAAAATTGTTTTTTTTTTGTTTGTTTTTGGTTTTGTTTTTTTTGTTTTTTGTTTTTTGTTTTTTTTTTTGAGACATAAGGAAGAAGTCACAATCCCATCTTCAAGAGGACCTTTTTTTGATGACCTTTTCTCTGTGTGTGTGTTTTTGGCTACTCTATAACACTGCAATGCAAGTCTCCTGAGAAAGTCTTTACAAGTGTCCTTTACTAATTGCTTAGCTAAGAATAGGCCAAAGGCTATGCATGGTTCCAAGGCCTGATCTCTGCTTAACTACACCTTAGTATCTAAAGGTGCCTATTTCCTTAAGTTCTTAGAAACACGTTAATTTGTTGTTTGTTTGTTTGTTTATTTGAGAGGTAGAACTTCCATCTGGTGGTTCAGTCCCCAAATGCCCACAGTATCTGGGGCTGGGCATGTGCCATGAGCCAGGAGCTCAGTCCAGGTCTCCCATGTGGGTGGCAGGAACCCAGCTAACTAGTTGAGCCATCACCACTGCCTCCAAGGGTCTGCACTAGCAGGTAGCTGGAACGGAACTCCAATACAGGATGCAGACATCTTAACCAGTGCTTAACTGGCATCTTTACTGCTAGTCCAAACACCTACAGCCCCGCATTAACTTTTTTAACCTTTGCCAGATTGGTGTCCTTACCTGATCTATAAAGGAACAAAAGTTCTCTTCATCTCTGCTGTAATTGAAAGTACATCTCACAAGCCTTTCTGCCCATTCTTCCCTGGTGCTTAGGATTTCCTAAACATGATGTGTTTTGGTAATAATGGTAGGAGATGTTGCCAAAGTAATTTGGAAAGGAAAGAACTTCACCTCCATGTGGGTGACAGTCATGTTCTAATATACCTCTTTGCTAAGTCCATGCTATTCATAGTCATCCCTCAACTCTTACAGGTACATTCACACTGTTTTAACAGTTTCCTTGAAATGTTTGACATGAAGGTTGATGAAAACGGAAAGTCTTAGCAAAGACTACAGGTCTCATGTGAGGCTGGTGGAGAAATTATATTATTAACTATTCATAATTACATGTTCGTTCTATGTGCTTTCAGTGAAGTGCTGTTATTTGCAAGGAATGGCCTTATGTGTTGAGTATTCAGTTATGAATCAGACATAATATCCTAACCTCAGAGAGATGAGAGGCTGTTTAATTCAACCTTTTTTTTAATAAGAAATGAAATTTTGTTCTCAATTTTCATGTTAATATGATATTAATACAAAGAAAACAGATACTTTATACTTCGTAGATAGAATTCTAAGGATATAATGATACTTCCCTTTCTCTGTCTCACCCAGCCTTCCTCCCTCCCTCCCTCCCTTCCTTCCTTCCATCCTTCTTTTCTTTCTTTAATTTTTGAGATAACATTTTTAATTTGGTTCAACTTTTTCTGAGGACATAGGCCAACTATGTGCTAAGTAGTATACAAAGATTAAGAAAACGTGGACTGTCCTCAAAGAGCATATAGTGGGAACATGTCTATAAGCTACAGAAATACGAAGTTGAATGTTTAATGCTTGATAGATGTTCCAAGACGCTGTGCCAAAGAGTGCATGTGGGACTATGTTCAATGTTTGTTTCTTAGCTATTAAAACATGTTAAGTGTATTTGTATCTTTGTTCATTGTTGTGCTTTTGACAGCAAATAATAGAAAATGCTTGTCAAGAAAAATTCTCTCATTATTGGGAGTCCAGCCTTCAGGCAAGCTCTAGATACAGTGTAGCATAGGTTTGGTGATGCTCTCCAGTGCATAGCTCCAGCTGTTGCAGCCCACTGGGGAGTGAACCATCGATGGAAGTCTCTCTCTTTCTGCCTCTCCGCCTCTCTCTGTGTAACTCTGACTTTCAAATAAATAAATATTAAAAAAAAAAAAAGGACTATTGTTCCCTGAACACTAATCCCTTTGCAGTTCCTTAGGGAGATCTGAGTAAGGATGTACTCAGCTCAAAGCATCAGAATACCTAACTCCGCTGACAGAAACAATACAAAAATTCACTTACCTCCCCTGTGAGGAAGGTTTGAGACTATGGCTCAGTGAGTCTGTCAAGTAGCTAGGCTTTGTTTTTCTGCTCTTTATCCATTCTGAGGTGTATCTCATGACTGCAGTAACTTCATGTGTTACATCATCATTGTGCTGCATTCAAGCCTGTATGAAAGGTAACAGGTGCTACCAGGGAGTATACTTGTGACAGAAACTCCCTTCTCCAGCTTACTCTTCCAGCTCTTTGGTCACATGACTGCCCTAAGCCAGTCTGGAGTAGGAGTTATGAGATGATACATTGCACTTGACTTTGACCAGTATGTGTTCAGGCCCTGGCAACTGGGAGGAAAGCCCACCTTCTTTAACGTATTACCCAAGCAAAGTCAGAGTTCCATAAACCAAAGAAAAAAGGGAAGTGGCTATAGGGCAATAGCCAGTAGGGTCTGCTTAAGATCAACTCAGCAGGATGTATCCAAAGCTTAAAATCATGCCTTTCTTCTATTTTATTTAAGATTTATTTATTTGACAGGCAGAGTTAACAGAGAAGCACAGGCAGAGAAAGAAAGGTCTTCCATCTTCTGGTACACTCCCCAAATGGCCACAACAGATGGAGCTGTGCTGATCCAAAGCCAGGAACCAGGAGCTTCTTCTGGGTCTCCCACACGGGTGCAGTGGCCCAAGGAGTTGGGCCATCTACTACTGCTTTCCCAGGCCATAACAGAGAGCTGGATTGGAAGTAGAGCAGCTGGGACTTGAACTAGTGCCCATATGGGATGCCAGCACGGTAGGTGGCGGCTCTACCTGCTAAGCCACAGTGCCGGCTCTGCCTCTGTTCTATTTTAGTATCTGTATTAGGAAAGCATTAATCTCAAGTGTAGAGTCTCAAACTATACTCATTTGGGATGAAGAACCAGCTCCCCCAAAACCCCAGTTCATCACAGGCCAGTACTAGGAAAATGAAATTTTAAAAAGGCCTGGCCCAGATCTGGCTGCTGTAGGCAGAACCAGAGGATGGAAGATCTGACAATCTCTTTTTCTCTGCCTTTCAAATAAATTGAAAATCAAAAGATTTTAAAGAAAAATAACACAGACTTTCAAAAAGATACGTTCTATATAAGCCCAAAGTGTTTGTTACTAAATTCAAAGGCTCTAAGTTTCTCTGTCAAAATTCTATAAAATGTCTTAATATTTATTCTGAATTTCTGTCCTTGTCTCAGCATGATCTAGTAACAACAGTTGGAGATCGGCCCCAGTTCAGGACCTTTGAGCCAGCTGACATAATCTGGCCCCAGCCACCTCCCCTGCCCCGTGTCCTGCTTGCTGCTGTTTTGGATTTCGCTACAACAAGCTGGTCTGTGTTACCGGAATATGCCATGTATTTTTGTTTTGTTTCTGGGCTCGACTTCACATTCTGTTCCTCTTGCTGGAAGGCCCTCTCCAGCTGGGGAATCCCTACTCATCTTTGCAGGCCAGCCTAAATGTCACCTTCCCTGTGATGTTTTACCTGAATTCTTTGCTCCCCCATTAGCAGTTTTCCTCTGTAAGCTGGATATTCTTATTCTATTGAACTGTGTTGTTTCTGGGTCAGTCTCCCCCGAGACCAAAAGGTCCTTGAAGCTGGTAACTGTCCTGTTCATCTTCACATCCCCTGTTCTGGCACACATAGTTTGTCCTGAATAAACACTTACTGAGTTGAATCAGCTCAACAAATGATACGACTTCTACTTCTTTCCTTTTGTCTCCCTCAAATATTTTCTGCTATGTTTCTGCCTTCATGTCTGTGGATTTCCTGATAAGAATATTACTGTTTAGACACACCATCAAGTTTTCTTCTTCAATTCTGGGTTTAAAAGTAAACAAAACAACTTTCCATTTGGATCACAGGTCTCATCTTACAGGCCTCAGAGTCCCTGTGACTGCTGGCACCACGTGGGTTTGTGCATCTGTGTTGTCTGACATGGAAGTCGCCTGACAACGTGTTGAGGTCCCCTGTGGCAACCTAGGAGGCTGTGTACAAACTTGTTGACTCCCCAGAGAATCTAATAGGGTGGCACCACACAGAATATGCAGTTTAGAGTCACAGTGACCTAAGGCTTTAATCCCTTTCACACACCCGTCTATGACCTAGGGCAACTTTCTTCGCCCCCTCTCAGCCTGCGTCTTCCATTAAAAAAAAAAAAAAAAAAGTTTTCATGGGATCCCATGCGGCAACAACAGCTGCTTGGTCAGTGTTAGTATACTCGGCTTAGATGAGCACATGTGTGGATGGCAGGGAAGCAGGCCAAGTGAACAGAGGTTGGTAGGTCTGCCTGTCTCTTTAAAGGGTCAAGGCCAATCCACTGGCAAGCTTGCTGAGAAAGATGACCTGCTTTGAAATTCTATAGGGCAGAGAATGCCTGCGTGGCTTCTCTGTTCCTGTGCTTCTGACTTCCCTGCTCACAGCTGGCAGGGACACCTACTCCGGGCGCCCAGGGAGTGCCTGACCCAGGTGCAAGGAGGAGCAGCTACTGTTCGTTAAGGTAGGCAGGCTGGTTGGGAGGCAGGCAGTGACATAAAGCAACATCTAGAAAATCTCTCCACTCCACTGATCCAGTCACATCACAGACCCAAATCATTGCCATGAGGGAGGCTGGGGGCTATTACTTCACCAAGACCAGCTCATCACTGCTGATTTTTTTTTTTTCCTACCTTTGGGAAGCAGAAAATAAAGTACACATTTGTTGGCTAATTGATTGTATTCTTTTTAAGATTTTTTTTTGTTTGTTTGAAAGAGTTACAGAGAGAGGAGGAGAGACAGAGTAAGAGAGAAAGAGAGCTTCCATACATGGGTTCACTCCCCAAAATGGCCACAAAGAACACAGCTGGGCTGATCCAAAGCCAGGAGCCAGGAGCTGCTGTATCTCTGACGTGGGTGCAGGAACCCAAGCACTTGGGCCATCTTCTGCTGCTTTCCCAGGCGCAGTAGCAGAGAGCTGGATTGGAAGTGGAACAGGTGGGGCTTGAACCAGTGCGCATATGGGATGCAGGCGCTGCAGGATGAAGCTTAGCCTGCTATACCCCAACACCAGCCACAGTCAATTGATTATAATCAAGGAAAAATCCTGACTCCCCACTCTGCTTCTCCTGTTTCCGCCAGTAGAGATACTCCCCCGCTGCCCATATGGACGATTCTACCCCAAAACCTCAAATCAGTTACCAGCTCTTCTTAAATCTTCCTTCCCACAAGCTGCCCTTCCTGCAAGGCTGCCACCATTCTTTAAATTAACTCAGCCATTGTGCTTCACGCACTGAATTGCCATGTTTTCTGAAGACTCTTTCCCTTAGCTGGGCTAAAGCTTGGCTCCTAGCAGGCACTCAGCAAATACTCATTGAGTTGAAAACTTCTGCTCCTTGGCATATTTGACAATTTCTAATTGCTTTAGTCAGTTATGGCAGTGGGATAAAGGTCCCTAAGATTGAGCCCTTGAATAGCACTGGGAAGTTACTGGGCTTCCTCTTCTCCAGCTCAGGAACAATGGTGACAGCTGTAGGGGCTAAGCTGCCAGTGGGGAGCAGCGAGCAAGAACAAAGGAGTCACAGTCCTTAGTGTTTATGTACTCCAGTTATTTCTTGGTAGCCCAAAGTACATCCCCAAATTCATCTAGATGTTTCTGTCTTGGGATTTTTTTTTTTGGGGGGGGGGACAGGCAGAGTGGACAGTGAGAGAGAGACAGAGAGAAAGGTCTTCCTTTTTCTGATGGTTCACCCCACAATGGCTGCCGCGGCCGGCGCACCATGCTGATCCAAAGCCAGGAGCCAGGTGTTTCCTCCTGGTCTCCGATGGGGTGCAGGGCCCAAGGACTTGGGCCATCCTCCACTGCACTCTCGGGCCACAACAGAGAGCTGGACTGGAAGAGGAGCAACCGGGACAGAACTGGCGCCCCGACTGGGACTAGAACCTGGTGTGCCGGCGCCGCAGGTGGAGGATTAGCCTAGTGAGTCATGGTGCTGGCCCTGTCTGGGGAAATTATCAGACTTTATGGAACTATGAGGTTGGGAGACATGGATCTGAACTTATATTTCTTACTTACTGTGCAAACCCCGTGGAACAGAATATTAAATCTGATAGACTTGGGTTCAAATCCCATTTCTTCTACCTCCTAGCTGTGAGAACTTACCTCTCTTAGCTTGAGTTCCTTTCAGATCTAGAAGGAAGATAATATTTTCTTTGAAGTGTTGTTATGATGGCTAAATAAAAAGTGTGTAAAAATGCCCAATTCAGGTCTGGTGCTTCATGGGTATTAATAGGTGTTGGTTATAATTCAGAAATATTGGAGGTGGGGGGGTGGCTGAAGACCTGGCCAATCGTTTATTAACTATTACCGGACCAGGTATGTGCAGGGGAAAGTCAGCCTTGAATTCAAAAAGCTGCTCCACATAGTTATTTTTTGTTGAATGGATGTTAAATAAACGCCTGGATGACATTTGCGGCGTGGGTTAATAAGGCTTTCAAGGGGGTTTCCAGTTCTTGCTTTTAGGAGTTTTTTTCTGATAATAGTCCCATACTTTTCTACTTTGATGTGTCCTTTTACCTCACGGAGCCTCCTGGCCCTCCCCACAGCGGGGGCTCTGCCTGGAGCCTTGAGGTAAACCCTACCCTCACATTCCCTTTGTCCCTCCCTGCCAGCCTCTTTGCCCCGAGGTCTTATCTTGTCCTCTGGGAGGTATGTTAAGTGCTCCGCCAGCCTGCCTGTGTGCCTGGCCTGTTTTTTCTCACTGCCAGTACCTCTTAGATTCCAATTCCAAACATGGTATCCATCTGGGGTCACCCTTTCTTCCGGTGCCAAGAGAGAACGCATTCCAAATGGAACACAAGTGTGCCTCCCAGGCCGGGCTCTCCTCACTCTGCTTGGGGACAGCAGAGAGCAGGATGTGCGCGCTGCATCCCACGCGGCCGACCTTTCAGTCTCGCAGTGCTGCCTTTCCCGCCGAACAGCCCAGGCTTTCTGCTCAGAGCCAAATTTGCAGACTATCTTAAGGAACCCCAGGCGGAGGACGCCTGCCGGAGCTCTGCTGAAGGGGGAGACAGACAGAGAGAGACGGAGAAAGAAAAGTTTTTCAAACTCTCCATGAAGTGTGCTATGTTCTGCCATTCATTCCCAGAGTCGCAGAAGCATTCCACTCGGGAAAGGGAGCCTGCGGCGAGCAGCACAGGTGAGAAGAGCCTGGGAGAGCAGATTAATTCATCCTCTGCGTTTTCTATGTGAGGACAGTAGTAGAGGCCAGTGGGGCTTTGAGAAGGCCCAGAGATGAGTGCCAACAGCAGCAGCTCAGCGGGCCAGCTCCTATGGCAGGGGCCGGTGTGTATCAGCTGGAAGCCGGATATGGAAGGAGCTGTCTACCACCTGGCCAGCTGCATCTTGCTCCTGGGCTTCATGGCGGGCAGTGGGGTGTATGGCTGCTTCTACCTTTTTGGCTTCCTGGGCACTGGCTACCTATGCTGTGTGCTGTGGGGCTGGTTTCATGCCTGTGGCCTGGACATTCTCCTTTGGAGCTTCCTGCTGGCAGTGGCTTGCCTGCTCCAGCTGGCACATCTGGTCTACCGCCTGCGTGAAGACACCCTCCCCGAGGAGTTCAACCTGCTGTACAAGACGCTGTGGCTGCCGCTGCAGGTGCCCCTGCAGACATACAAGGAGATTGTTCACTGCTGCGAGGAGCAAGTGTTGACACTGGCCATGGAGCAGACCTATGCCGTGGAGGGTGAGACACCCATCAACCGCCTGTCCCTGCTGCTCTCGGGCCGGTGAGCTCCTCCATCATGCCCAGAACTTTCCCCCTCTGGCCCACACTTCTCATTTCCTAGCCTGTCCCTTTCCATTTCGTGTCCCCGTCTACTTAGGAAGGATGTGGCAAGTCAAACAATCTAAAATAGATTTTTCTAAGAGTAGATTTGCTTCCTCTTTCTTAGCATTTTCCAGATCACGAGATGACTGTTTGGCAAGAATGATGGTGTGTGCTCTTGCTACTGGGTATGGGGTAATTGTTTCTTGAGCCACACCTGAAATGACTACACACACACACACAAACACACACAAAGCTGTGGCAGCCTCTCTTTGGGAAATGGGACCTCTCCCAGAGTAGTTTGTTCCTTCCATAATCAGTCAACATTTTCTAAGCACCAACTATGTGCAGGGAACAATGCCAGAAACTGAGAGGAGTTTTCCGTAATCCCTATTCCTGGCTAAGTCATCAAGGAAACAGCCCCCCATGTATTTGGGACATCCTGTACAGACTCTGTAAGGTAGCCTCTCTGTGTGTAGTCAGGTATGGAGAGAGAATACCCCTTGTCCACTTTTCCATTTCTCTTGTTCTGTTGAGACTCTGGCATACCAAGAAGTCGGGTACAGATGAGGGTCCAACAGTGAGAGACAGATATAGCAATGCCTGTGTGTTGTTGATGCGGTGGAGACACGTGCCTCCTTTGAAGATGGACAAACATCGGCAGAAATTAGTCTTAGTTAGGATCAGTGAATGCCCAGGCAGCCTGGATGTGAATGTTGGCTACTGATATCTGCTAAGAAAATACCGGGGCAATTTGTGCTGCACACTTGGTAGGCATCGGTGATTTTTTTTTTTTTTTTTTTTGAAACATGGCCCTACTAGTGCTTCTGTACCCTACCTCCCTACTAGCTTGCTTGAGAACAAGACAGTGTGGTAGAAAAGGTAAGATGGTAATCAGAAGAAAGAAAGAAATCAGATAAGACTGCCAAACACACAGTGTTGTTTTTTAAAGTTTGATAATGATGATGATGGTACAACTAATAATAAGAATGATTAGAATACATATTATATATTAATTATATAATCTAAAGAGTTGTGTGTCTATGCTTTGATGTGGCTTAGGCTTGGAGGTCCTGGATTGAGTGAGCTAAAAAAGAAGACATTTTGTGGGCTGGCCTCCCATTACGTTTATGAGTTAATTGCAAGTGTAAGCAAATGCAACTCTTTGGAAACAAATAAAGATGTAAATACAGGCCTGCGCCGCGGCTCACTAGGCTAATCCTCCACCTAGCGGCGCCGGCACACCGGGTTCTAGTCCCGGTCGGGGCGCCGGATTCTGTCCCAGTTGCCCCTCTCCCAGGCCAGCTCTCTGCTGTGGCCAGGGAGTGCAGTGGAGGATGGCCCAAGTGCTTGAGCCCTGCACCCCATGGGAGACCAGGAGAAGCACCTGGCTCCTGCCTTCGGATCAGTGCGGTGTGCCTGTGATGGGGGCATGGGAGTTTACTCCTCACTGTAGCTTTTCTCAGTATGCATGGCATCAAAGGCCTGCATCAAAGTTAGACCATTTTGCTGTTTTTTCTTGCTTTTCAAGGTTTGGACCAAGAGTCTTGTCATTGTTGCTGTTGTCTTTCAGTGTCAGCCTGTCTCAGTTTTGTGAAGGTGGTCACAAGGAAGAGACCTCCAGTCCCTGCTGGAGAATCCTTGTTCCTGGGGTGGTGATAGTGAGGGACTAAACACTTCAAAGTGGAAACAAGAGCTCCATGCCCGGAAACAGGGCCCTCTTGTGTAGACCCCCTCATCTCACATGTGGACTCTCATCTGGAGCCCTGTGCTCAACCCTCAGAAGTCTTTTTAGGGCAGTCAGTTCCTTTCAAGACTCAGGGAGGCAAAGTGACTTCCCCAAAGTCTATCCTGCTGCCAGTGTGTGCTTACCACTGGAGAGCTTCCCTCACACACAAAGCACAAACTCCCTTGTATACAAACCCCCGAGTAGGGAACAGACTGTCTATGCTGTTCCTTGAGGAGGAAATCACCTGTCATCTAGGAAGTGCAGAAGGGAGAAGAGACTGATGACAAAGGAGAGAGTCTACTGCTTTCAGTGGCTTCAGTAGGCCCCACAGGCCCACACTAGGATGTGGTCACTCTGTTCCCCCAGACTTGCCTGGGTAGGCAGATTCCTGGCCCGAGGCGATGATGGGAGGGTCTGATGTGCACAGTGGCAGCTCCTTTCTCTCCTGTAGGCGTCCTTTCTTGGAGAAGCTTTTCCTGGAGAGTTTAACTCCTTTTTATGATGACACAGTGAGCTTGCTCACGCCTCTGTTCACTCTTTCTTCTCTCCCCGCACAAATACATGTTAAGACTAGGGCTCCAATGTTAACTATGAACGGTACTGTCCCAGTATGATGGTCTATCAACAAGAGTCAGGAATTAGTGTTTGTCATCATGGTCAGTGACAGATATACCCACCGTATTTCCACAGAGAAGCGCAAAGTGCTGAGACAGCAGTAGCTAGCTTAGCAGCACTCACTGATCTGGGGAGGTCAGACTTGGAGGACAGCTTAAGGGGAGCCTTGAGAAGAGGTTAGCTCGAGACAGTGTGTGTGAAAACCCTGACGTAGCAGAACACAGCACTCGATTTTCTCCTGCATCCATTCGTTGCCCAGGGCAGTCCTGCCAGGCAGTCTATGAATTACCTGCTCTCCTAGGAGCAAGCCTATCTCTGCCGTTGGAGGCTGTGGGCTGACTCCATCCTCAGCTTGACTTGAGACCTACATCCCCTTTCATCTGTCTTTCATCTTTAAGTTGTCAGGCATCTGGCAATAGTTTATCAGTTGGTGATGGTGTTTGGAAATTTGTATGCTGCCACATATATTTCTAGGCATTCATTAAAACAGCATGACTCAGGAGTGCTAATATCTCATTGGCCAGGACTTAGCCATGGCCGCATCTAACAGCAAGGGAAGCTGGGAAATGTAGTCTTTAGCTGTGCAGCCCTGTGTCCAGTTAGAACTCCAGTTCTGTAGAGAAAGACAACAAACAGAGATACTGGAGAAGAGACTGGACTTCCCAGCTCTCCGTCTACCCCCAGCATTCTCTGCTTTTCGATATTCTGTTCAAACTTCAGGACACAGCTCAGATGTCATCGTCTTTGAGACGTCTGCCATCCAAAGAGAACCAACCTCTCCCCTTCCTCTGTGTTCCTCTTTCACAACAGCACGTAGCACACTGATTCGCCGTCAGTGATTGATCGACTTGTGACTTCCACTCAGCTGTGAAGTTCTCAAAGGCAAGGGCCAGCTCAGACCCGTCGCTGCATTCCCAGCCTCCCGGAACTCAGAAAGTGCTCTCTGTGTATTTGTTCAGCCAGCCACGCTCCAGAAGTAATGGAAGGATAGCTCCATCTACATGGACAGGGTGTGTCTTTGAGATCTTTCTTGTCTTCCCCCCTTGCCAGATAGAGGCACCTTCTTGCCTGATATAACTTGCTTCAGAAGAGGGGTTAAAGACTCAACTCTGAGGCTTTTTTGGAGAAAAGAAATAAAAGCCCATCTTGTATCCTAATCTTCTTCCAGATGCAACATCATATCTGAAATTCGTTCAGTACACCCAGACACAGCCAGTGACGTGCCTTTGGTTCTAACAAGTCATCCGCTGCGGCGCCTGTCCCTGCAGGCCAGAGCACCAGGCTAGGTGCCAGCCACCTAGACACAGAGTCAGCAAGCAGCATGAGTGATGTTTCTAAGTCCAAAGTTGTGGAGCCAGCCCTGTGGTTGTGAAGACAGGCAAGTCAAGGGCTATAGAAAAGAATATTCACAACATGAAAACAAATATATCAATTGCGATTATTGGCAGTAGCCACAGGTGCCCTACCACCCTCCAAAAGCTCTGGTGACAGGGTGCAACATGGAGTCGTGTCTGGAACACAGACTCTCAGTCCTGCTGCTTGGTAGCTGTGTACCCTTCAACTCACCACTCAGCCTTTCTGAGCATCAACCTCTTTAGTTGCAAAACATGGGGTGGGAGGGATAACCTACCTTGGGTTATGGTGAAGATTAATAAGAGAACACTTTAAAGTGTCGGAGTCTGAAAAGCAGTTACAATACAAGCACGAGATGTATCAATCAGGGCTCTTCATGCAGCCTGTGTGGTGCAGCTCTGCGTTGCTGGGAACACTCTATGTTGTACTGTATCGGAGCCACAGGCCGCAGGGGCCATGGTGATTCACACAAGTGAGAAGCTGAATTGCTACCCTGACTTATATGCAAGTGTAACTGGCCACACGTGGCTAGTGGACAGAGAACTCTAGAGCACTGGTTTTCACCTTGGCTGTGTATCCTGGGGAGACTTAAAAATGATACTGTCTGCAACCCACCTTCTGAGATTCCCCGTTCCCTGCTCTGGCATAGGCCCAGTCCTAGGTGATTTTTGTTTTAATTTTTTTTTTGACAGGCAGAGTGGACAGTGAGAGAGAGAGAGACAGAGAGAAAGGTCTTCCTTTTGCCGTTGGTTCACCCTCCAATGACCGCCGCGGCCGGCGCACCGCGTTGATCCGATGGCAGGAGCCAGGTACTTCTCCTGGTTTCCCATGGGATGCAGGGCCCAAGCACTTGGGCCATCCTCCACTGCACTCCCTGGCCACAGCAGAGAGCTGGCCTGGAAGAGGGGCAACCGGGACAGAATCTGGCGCCCCGACCGGGACTAGAACCCAGTGTGCCGGCGCCGCTAGGTGGAGGATTAGCCTAGTGAGCCGCGGCGCCGGCCCCTAGGTGATTTTTAACACCTGATCCACTACACTCTTATCCCCCCAAGTCTTCCACTCTGCAGCATGGAATTGGGAACCATGGGGAGAAGGAGAAGGAGAAAAAAACAGGAGGCAACCCAGGGCTCGGGAGTGGAGGCAGCGTGGGTTTGCTCCTGAGCTGCTTGCCTGTGGTCGTGAGGCTGCTCCTGCTTTGGTCTGGCCCTGCTTTGGGCGAGGTATTCCTGCTGGAGGAGTCAGTCATGTGGTCAGCAACACAAAACCTCAGGAAGGGGGTCGGGCAGCCGTTTCCCTTTTCCCACACGGTCTCTCCTCTCCCTTTGCAGGGTCCGTGTGAGCCAGGACGGGCAGTTTCTGCACTACATCTTTCCGTACCAGTTCATGGACTCTCCTGAGTGGGAATCGCTGCAGCCCTCGGAGGAGGGGGTGTTCCAGGTAACAAGGAGCCCCACGGCAGCACCACGTCGCCCCGATGCACTGTCCCCTGTCCCTGCTTATATCTGTCCTTCCTCCCCACCTCCTCCTCTGCAGGAAAAGTGCCTGGACCCTGGCGGAGGTGGGGTAGGGCGGGGAGGTACTGGGCTCTGATGGAGAGGCCCTGTTGCCTTTTTTTTTTTTTTAAGATTTATTTATTTATTTGAGAGGCAGAGTCACAGAGAGGCAGAGGGAGAGAGAGAGAGAGAGAGAGAGAGAAAGAGAAAGTCTTCCATCTGCTGGTTCATTCTCCAAATGGCCACAATGACTGGAGCTGGGTCAAGTTGAAGCTAGGAGCCAGGAGCTTCTTCCAGGTTTCCCACATGAGTACAGGGGCCCAAGGAATTGGACCATCCTCTGCTGCTTTCCTAGGCACACTAGCAGGGAACTGGATCAGAAGTGGAGCAGCCAGGACTCTAACCAGCACCCATATGGGATTCCGGTGCTGCTGGTGGCAGCTTAACCTGCTACGCCACAGCACTGGGCCCCTTGGACCCATCACTCTTGTGCTAAAATACTTTCAGAAAACCCTGCTGGCCACATGATAAAAACTCACACTCCTTGCAAGGTAGTGTAAAACCTTCAGTGAACTCCAGTCATATCTCCCTATGTTTTCTGCTTTTACTAGCTGTGCAAACTAGTGACACTTCCCTAAACACCCAACAGTGTCCTGCAGCTCCAGGCCTTGGCTCCCACTTTCTCCCCACACCAAAATACACATCTGAGATGCATTGCCCCCTGTGGACAAGACACCTCACTTGCTCCGTGAGGCCTGCCCAGACTGACCTCGCCAGCTTCCCCCGCCACACACACAGCTGCTGGCTCCTGCTCACCTGCCTGTCCTCCTTTTCCTTGCTACTCTCTGATGAGTGCATTTTCCTTCCTGTCTCGTGCATGGTGAACTCTTAGAAGTAAAACTCTAGGCTTCTCTTTTGCTCTGCCCCAGGTGCCCAAGGACAGCATCTGGGACCCAGCAGGTGCACAGTGAAGGCTCGGTGCGCTGGCTTGCTAGGGACTACGCGGGCTTCACATCCACACTCCAAGGAGGGGCTCCAAGGGGAAGTCTGGCCACCTGGCTCCTACCCTCCTCTCTGCCAGTCCTTCAGATTTTCCTTGCAGTTCTCACAGCCTGAGCGGCCAGCACATCTCAGGCCCTGCGTATTACCTAGCCTCGGCTTTTCATTCTCACAACTCTATGGGTTGCCTGTTATTATTGTTAACAGATAAGGAAACTAAATCCCCAGATCACCATGTAATTTGCCCAAGGTCTTCAGCTACAACGTAGCAAACCCAGGGAGCCTGGATCTACTATTTCTATTCTGTTTTTTAAAAATGGGAGGGCATCAGGGAGTGGAGTTTCTCATGCACACTCACACTCTTATAGGGACTCCCCTGTCCAGATGCTTTGCTGGTGTTGGGTTCCATGTGTCTCCTACCACTTCTATCAGGGAGTCCCTGGAAGCAGAGTCTGAGCCAACCCCGGAACAGACGCATGCCTGCCAGTGCCGCCTGGCAAGGCCAGCTTCCGCCCCCACCCTGACACTTGGCTCTGTGATGACGAAGCCTGAGAGGCAATCCTGATCCCACTACCAAGCTTACCCGCCACCGACCCCTTGATTGTGGTCCTGCCTGCCACCTGCCACCCACCTGCTGTCTCTAACCAGCCCAAGCAATCTCCTATGGGAAGGCTCCCAGGCCACAGGAATATGCAAGAGGGCTGAGTCAGGTCCCAGGCTAGGCCGACCAAGCTCTGACACTGACACCGAGCAACAGGTGGTGGCAGGCCGGTGTCCTCCCCAAGTTATGCTCCAGAGGAAGGGCTGTAACCCCAGATGGCCTCTCAGCCTGGAATGTCGGCATGGGCGTGGCCCTCCCATTTATATTTTTAGTGTGCACCCACACATTTGCTGCTGGCTGTGTAAAGTCCCATTTCCTCTCTGCAAATGTCAAGCATCGTTCCGTGTTATAGTTCATCCTGTCCCTCCCTTTACATCATCTTTGTGGCCTGAGAGAGCAATCCACACTGGCTGCCTGAAGGATAGCTCACATTGTGGTTGACACAAATGCATCAAGTCCATCACACCTCTCGACAACTCAGTTAGATCCAAATGCATTGACTGTTCAGCACCGTGACTCTCCAGTTAGTCACACAGCACAGCAGGGAGGAGGAATCGCACAGAAATCATCATCATTGCTCCGACTTGCATCCTGTGTTGCTGGCCTAAACCCTATTATTTATGCTATTTCATTTAATCCATTCAAACAACTGCTAACGTGAGTTTTAGAGAAGAAGCTGGATACTGCTCAAAACTTCACAGACATGCCCCTATGGCAGGCATGTGGGAGCTAATCCAGACACAGTTTCTGGAGGGCTTTTGTGGGAAGACCTTGCACAGGCCTTGACCAAGTGACAGTAGATGGTTGCATGACAGTGGTGGACTTCCCTTAATTTACCTATCTGCTTCAGTGAAATTATTTTTTTGAGCACTCGTTACAGGCACCACTAAAGGTAAACAGAATAGGTGAAGACCCCAGCCCTCACACACTTAATCACAGACATAATGAATGAGTTAAGTCATAGCATGCTAGAAGGTGCAAACTGCTGGCTAAAGAAACGACGACATAGAATAGTATAAGGGAGTTACGGTTGCAACTTTAAGTTTGGTGGTTATGGGAGTCCTTGTCATGTAGGTTACCTTGGTCACAGACCTGAGAAGTGACAGTGTGAGCTCTTTGGATATCCTGGGGGAAGAACAGATATCAGACAGAGGGAAGGGCCAGTGCAAAGTCCCTGAGGTGGGGCTGGTGTAATTGAGGTACAAAAAAGGAGGCCAGAGCACCCAAAGCAGAGAGAAGGAAGAGAAGTTGCAGCGGTGATGGGGTGCCAGGTCACGGAGGGCCAGAGCATATATTTTCTAGATAGAGCCAAGAGAATTTCTCAAAGGCTTAGATGTAGTATGTGAAAGAAAGTGGGGCTCAAAGACAATTCTGAAGCTCTTGACCCAAGCAACTGCTAGGATGGAGCTGTTATCTGCCCTAGTAGAGCTGATTGGGGTGGGGGGCAGAATAGGAAGTTCAGTCTGGAATGTGTTTGGTTTGTGTTATCTATGGCATTTAAGTGGAGATGCTGAATAGACAGTTGAATATTTCAGTCTGGAATTCAGCAATGAACCCTGGGCTTGAGACATACATGCGGGAGTTGATTGTGCCCAGTTAATATTTAAAGCCACTGGACTGGGTAAGATCACCAAATGAGTGAGTGTGGACAGAAAAGGGATTTAACAATGGAGGCCTGGGACTCCAGTGTTAAGAAGTTGGGGAGGGGCCAGCCCTGTGGCATAGTAGGCTAAGCTTCTGCATGTGACGCCAGCATCCCATATGGGTGCTGGTTCTAGACCTGGCTGCTCCATTTCCAACCCAGCTCTCAGCTATGACCTGGGCAAATAGCAAAAGAGGGTGCAAGTGCCTGGGCCCCTGCACCCGTGTGGGGGACCCAAAATGTGCCCCTGGCTCCTGGCTTTGGATCAGCTCAGCTCTGACCATTGCAGCCATTTGGGGAGTGAGCCAGCAGATGGAAGACCTTTCCCTCTGTCTCTCCCTCTCATTGTTTTTAACTCTATCTCTCAAATAAATAAATCTTTTAAAAAAAATAAGAAAAAGTTGGGGAGAAAAAGGGGATGCAGTAAAGGAACCTGAAAAGGGGCAGTCAGGGGAATGCACCGGGGTGTGTGTCAGCCTGGGAGCTGAGTAAAGGCATGGCAAAGAGCAGGGGTGTCAGTGGGCTTGAATGCCCAGGAAACTGACCACCGGATGCAGTGACTCAGAGGTCACTGATGACCTCATCAGGGACAGCGTTTGTGGATTGCCAGGGACAAAGCCATATAAGCTTAAAGAGACAGTGAGAAGAGGAATTGGAGACAGTGAGAATAGACAGGTTTCTCAGGGAACTTTGCTAAAAAGAGGAGCAAATTCCTGGAGTGGTAGCTGGCCAGGGAAATGAAGTGAAGAAAAGGATACTGTCCTTTAGACGGGAGAAATCCGAGCTTGTGCACAGGGATGCCCGCAGCCTTCAGGATGGAGATGTTCATGTGTAGATTAGCTCTTACTGAGACATACCCACCATGTGCTCTGGAGGGGAGGTCTGACCTGGGAATCGTGCAACCACAAGATTGTGAAAACTGCTTGCAGAACTGTTAGCAAGGGACAGATCTCCGGTATTATTTTCAGAATTCTCATGAAGCAACGTGTTCAGAGAGATTACATCATTTATGTAAGAAAAACCAGCTTCTGGTCTTGAGTTTGGGGTGGGGTGGAGGGGGTGAGAGGGGGAAATGAATAAAGGAAATGGAGGAAGGGCTAGCAGAGAGGAGGGAAGAGGAAAGGAGGGTAGTGGGAGATCAGGCAGGCAATGCAGGAAGTTAAAGGATGATATATATTCGCTATTTGGAAAGTCAACCCTACGTTTAATTAGATAATGCATTTAAAGTGCTCAACACAACACCCGGCTCACAGTCACCTCTTGATAAATGGTAGCTGCCACCACCATCATCATCATCACCTCCACTGTCTCCATCCACAACCATACACCATGAGCCCTGCCATCCCTAAATATTATGCCAATCAAATTATAGAAAAGTATGTGACTCCACACCCATTTCTTATACTATCCCAAGCATATTTCCATTTTTGAAAAAAGATTTATTTATTTGAAAGCCAGAGTTACAGAGAGAGAGAGGGAGAGAAAGAAAGCAAGATATCCCATCTGCTGGTTCACTCCCCAAATAACAGCCAGGAGCCAGCAACCTCTTCTGGGTCTTCCACATGGGTGACAAGGATTCAAGGTATTAGGGCCATCTTCAGCTGCATTTCCCAGGCCATTAGCAGGGAGATGGACCAGAAGCGGAGTAGCCTTGAAACAAACTGGCGCCTATATGAGATGCCTGTGCTGCAGACAGCCATTTTACCTGATGGTCCTGCATGTTTCCATTTTAACCCTAGCTTTACCACTTGTCATTATTTTGACGAGATTTATATAGCACCTACTGTATGCTGGGCACACATGATTGCTTATATCCCCTGCAAGTGCCATTTAACTAGGCATCGTGGACATGTAGTGAGTGCTCAGATGAACGAAGAAATGGAGAATTGGGTGCCCTCAGCTTTCTGCTCTTGAGAGGCTGTCTTCCTCTGGGCCCTTTTCCTGACTACTCATCAGATCTTTCTGTGATACACAAAGTAAGAGCAACTTCATGTACCTGAGTCCCAGGCCAGAGCCCCATCCACTGGATGCAGCTTGCCCTGCCAACCAGAAGCTTTTCCTGTAACTAAGCTTCTTTCTACCCTTTCTGTGTTCCTACCCCTGATCTACGAGGGCACTTCAAAAGACGAGTTTATTTTGGTGCGAAAAAAATTGGAGTCCATGCATAGTTGTTTCATAATATGCATTTTAAGACCCTTCACATGCATGGATTTGAACATCTTTTGCATCAAAAAATGAACTTATCTTTTAATTTCATTTTCTACAAACTTTTTGAAGTATTATCCTTCTTTATTCTGAAAATGAAGTCATCAGCATTTTGACCTCTCTTCAGAGCATTAGGAAGCTTGTTCTAACTACCTATCTTATCTATCATCTATTATCTATCTATCTATTTATCTATGTATCTATCTATGTATATATCTACCTACTTATTCTAACTATCTATAATCTATCTATATCTGCCTATCTATTATCTATCAATCCTCTATCATCTATCTATCGATCATCTATCTATCTATCTATCTATCTATCTATCTATCTATCTATCTATGTCAACTGCAAGACCCAGGACCTTCTTCTGCTACTAGTGGTGTCAGCCATGGCAGCCTAGGAGAACTAAGGAACTGGGAGGTTCCAGAGCGAGGGGCTGGCCGACCCCAGGACTCCTGAAACAGGACACCCCCATCTCAGTGCATGCAACTGAAAGTCTTTCCCTGGACCTCCTCCAGGCAAGCCCGTGGAGGTACTTCAGGAAAAGGACAGCCGTGTTCCCAGTGACTGGCTGTTTCTCGGTGCTCAGCGTGGGTGGATTTTCTAGCTTCAGCCTCACTGTCTGCTTCTGACCCCTCTCAGGTCACCCTCACAGCTGAGACGGAGTGCAGCTACGTTTCCTGGCCCCGGAAAAGTCTCCACCTTCTCCTGAACAAGGAGCGGTACATCGCGCGCCTCTTCTCAGCCCTGCTGGGCTATGACATCTCAGAGAAGCTCTACACTCTCAACGACAAGCTCTTTGCCAAGTTCGGGCTTCGCTTTGACATCCGCCTGCCCAGTCTCTACCACGTCCTGGGTCCCACTACCCCAGACGCAGAGCCAGGGTCTGAGAAGGAGGAGGAGGAAGCCCACATGCCAGCCGTGTCTCCTCAATCCGTGGCCACCGCTGCCCAGCAGATGCCCCCTTGTTCTCCCCCTCCAGCTGCCACCAACCTTCCTGCACCTCCGTCCCGGGCCAGGATGTCCAGGCCCGACAGCGGCCTCCTGGGTGAGGACTCCACCAGTCTGGTGCTGGAGGATTTTGAGGAGGTGTCAGGATCGGAATCATTTATGGATTATAGGAGTGATGGGGAGTACATGAGGTGAGGGGAGAACTAACATGGGCACAGTCGCCGGCTGAGGACCCAGTGTAAGTACTCGGAATACAGCTGCCACACATTCCTGCCAACAGCTGGGCTCAACACAGCTTGGAAGGGCAAATATCCGTCTGCTGCATCTGCTCTCAGAGGGCTCACGGAAAGTGGCATGAACCCAGTCTTGCAGATAGCAGCTTGCTCTGGGTATATGCAAGGCCTGAGGGGTTTCCTTCTTTCCTTTCCTTTCTTTCCTTTTCTTTTCTTTTCTTTTCTTTTCTTTTCTTTTCTTTTCTTTTCTTTTCTTTTCTTTTCTTTTCTTTTCTTTTCTTTTCTTTTCTTTCTTTCTTTCTTTCTTTCTTTCTTTCTTTCTTTCTTTCTTTCTTTCTTAAGATTGACTTATCCATTTGAAAGGTGGAGTTACAGAGAGGGAGAAGGAGAGAGAAAGAAAGCCAGGAGCCAAGAGCTTCATCCCGGTCTCCCACATGGGTGTAGGGGCCTAAGCACTTGGGCCATCTTTTTCTGCTTTCCCAGGAGCATTAGTAGGGAGCTGGATGGGAAGTGGAACAGCCGGGACTTAAACCAACGCCCATATGGGATGTTGGCACCGCAGGTGGCAGCTTAATGCAGCTATGCCACAGCACCAGCTCCAAGAGGGGTTTCTTAAAAACTCATTTATTATTATTAACTGTGATTGTATTTTGGAAAATGGGCTGGTTGACATTTGGAGGGCACTGATAGGTTACTAAATTTTTGCACAAAATTGTATAATAGCTGAGGCCACTTCTGGGGCTAAAGGGAATTTTATCTGGCATACATTTTAAAGGAAAGAGAATGCTGGCATGGTCCTGGTTCCTGATGATCGTCTTCCAGACATATAGTCCATTCTGGAACACAGTTGTTATTTGGCCTGGACTGGGCAGGTGTCCCTGTTACAATTGCATTTGGGGGCGGGCATTTTGTCTAACAGTTAAGCTTCCAGTTAAGATGTTGACATCTCACACAAGAGCCCCTGGGTTCAATTCCCAGATCCAGCTTTCTGCTAACGTGGGACTTGGGAGGCAGTAGTAATGGCTCAAGTATTTGGACCCTGCCACTGCCTCGACTGATACCCTGGCTTTGGGACCCAACCCACATGTTGCAGCCATTTGAGGAGTGAACCAGCAGATGGGAACTCTGTCTGTCCCTGCCTCTCAAATTAAAAACTAAACCAAAAAAATGTGTAGGAGGTGAACTTTAAAAAGTTGTTGGATGGAATTAAAAGGTAAGTGTATTTTGGTATAAAAAAAAGTGAGAAGTCCAAGCATAGTTTTCTCGTGGGACATGTTTTCTACAAAGTTTTGATGTCTCTTCCTCTTGTAAAGAGACTTGTGATTACAGCCTAATGGCTCAGGGAGGAACTGTCCCCACCTTGCTTTCCTCTCGGCCAGTGGACGATGTTCAGGTTGTTGGGGGCAGAGGACTGGACGCTGCTCTGATAATACTGCGCTGTGCTTGGGTATGGCCCTGGCTTTCCCCCAGCAACCCACACCTGAGGGAGGTGGGGTGGACGGGAATCTGGGCAGGCCCAAGGGCACCTGTAGGACTTCCCTCTCAGGGTAGTGTACAAGGGAGGCTACATTCGGCAGTTCTGGAAAATTGCGTTCTCATTGCCCCAGGCTGCTCTCACAACACTGTGACATTTGCTGCTGGGGCTCTGCCCAACCATGGTGGATGCCTGGCTTCAGCTGAGGAAAACCTCACCCTTGTCAATTCACAAAGCCTTCCCCAGGAAAGGGGGCACTAAGAAACCCAGCATGCTTTGGGAAGCCCTGAGACACCAGTCCAGGGTACACAAAGTGAATGAGCGAATGTTTGCGTGTTTTGAAAAACAAATTGTATAAATGATGGAAGAGGTAAGAGAGGAGAATGCTAGGAGGTTACATAATTCCTTGTGTGGCTACAGAATTTATAATCTCCGGCGGTACCAGTGTCCTCAGCTGAGCGATCCTGGGGTAGTTCCAAGGATCTGTCTACGCCAAGATCACTACTGGCTTCCCCGCTGGCACTGTCACCCCTGCCCAGCACACTGCTTCTGTCCCGTCGACCCCTCTCTGCCAAGCACGCCTGCCCACCTGTCCGCTCTTCTCAGCTCCCAGCAGCTCTCTGTGTTCTAGGCTGCTCCTCTGGGTTCCTTGCTTTTCCTGGTCCTGTTGGCTCTCCCAGTTCTTTTCTCTTTCTGATTATACACAGCCATTGGCTGCCTCAGTTTCCTACTCTTGAGTCTCTTCTTCTGAGCTCACTTCTCCCTCTCCATCTGTTCTCTGTCTTCTCCCACTTTATTGTTCACTGATTTATCTCTCCTTTCTCCCTCTTTTCCTTTCTCAGTTCCTTCCTTGCTTTGTCTTCTCTTCCTCCAGGGCCTCCCTGGTTCCCCTCATTTTATTTGTTTTAATTGGAACTCCTCCAAGATCAGTGTCTTTCCGTCTATTTTTAAAAAACCAGGCAAAGGTGTGAAAATTCCCAACTTTCTGAATATTTTCCACGTTTTGGGGGCAGGCAGCTTGGGGGACAAGAAAGAGGCCAGGACTGGGAAGCCTGCCTCCTCTGCTTGTCTTCTAAGCAAATGTATGGCCTTTGGCAAACCATCCAACCTCCCTGAACCCTGCTTCTTCACTGGAGTCTGCTGGCCCCACTGTCTCCTCTTGACAGATGTAAGAAGGCAAAAGCTGAGTTTTTCACACAAGATAAAGGGAAGTGGTCAGCTGTACAGCGGGACTTGAGTCCCAGGAAACCTGTGTCTTTTCCTAGTAGCTCTTTAGTTTTCACAATTGCTCTGGAGCCATGGCCACCCTGGTGGGTGGCGGGGCCGGCTTGCCTAGAAGTTCTCTCACTTTTGTCCCTGAGAAGAATCTGTCACCTACCCTGAGATCACTGTGCATTCATTGTGAAAGATCACAACTCGGTCCCCAAGTCCTCACCCCAATACTGTGAACCTCATTCAACCTCTTCCGAAAACTCGAGTTGGGAAAACTGCTAAGGTAACTCACCTTCTAAAGCACTGGCATGTGCAGTAATGAAACAGTAGCAGGTGTTTTATGTTTAAGTGATAGAAACGGAAAAGACATTCTCTTTCAAACCATAGGGTTTTCAGAACAACTTGAAAATATGGTCAAACTGCTAAGTTTCAGATGGTTCTCAATTTAGTCTGTGATAAGAGGATCATTGAACCTGAGCTCCTTTTCTGGCATGGTGGTTTTGGATGCATGGTTTGGCTTGTTTCCATCCAAGCCCCTTCAGGGTTATGACAGTGAAATAGGTGTTTCTCCATGTGATTGGTAGCAGTTTGTCATCATTTCCTTTATAAAGTATAGCACAACTCACCATCTGTTTCCTGACTCTTCTGTTACCAAAATTTGTTCTGACATAGCACTTAAATAAGAGGCACGAAGCTGCTGAATTCTGCAGCATTGTGAATGACATAGTCCGGTCACATTGACACTGGGGTTTGTCTCTGACACCAACTCAATTGGAAACCAACTTAAAACGGGCAGCGCTTCCACTGGAATTCATTAATTTATTTCTTTATTTGCTTGTTTGTTTATTTTTGCTCATCTGAACATGACAGACAGCAATGGCAAAATTTGTCAGGTGGCTAATTTTCCTGCAAATGTTTGTTTAGCACATCAGAAATATTGTTTCTCTTGACATGGAACTCTTTTTTTAAAAGAGTACTTTCCTTCAGTCTGGTGGTGCCCATAATTGGAAATTGGCGCTGTGAGGATATGGACCTTCCAGCCAGAACTCAGGTTACCCCTGCCCTCACTGGGATTTTTCCCATTTAATTTATGGGCAGCCTCCTCAGTGATCTTCCCTCTAGGAGGTGCCCTGTGAATGGGGGACTCGTCTTGGAGAAGTGCATCTGTGAGCCGGTCAGTTGACTTGGATAAGGAGTCCATTGTCACAGACTAAGCTGAATGCTGTCTGAAATTGGGTCAGTTTTTTTTAAAGATTTATTTATTTATTTGAAAGTCAGAGTTACACAGAGAGAGAAGGAGAGGCAGAGAGAGAGAGAGAGAGAGAGAGAGAGAGAGAGAGAGAGAGAGAGGTCTTCCATCCGCTGGTTCACTCCTCAACTGGCTGCAACGGTTGGAGCTGCCCTGATCCGAAGCCAGGAGTCAGGAGCCTCTTCCAGGTCTCCCATGCAGGTACAGGGGCCCAAGGACCCGGGCCATCCTCTACTGCCTTCCAAAGACACAGCAGAGAGCAAGATCAGAATTGGAGCAGCTGGGACTTGAACCAGCACCCATATGGGATGTCAGCACTGCAGGCGGCAGCCTTACCTGCTATGCCATAGCACCAGCCCCTTGGGTCAGTTTTTGATTCTGTTTTTATGTGGTCCCTAAAGCTCTGCGGCTTGGAAAGTGAAAACTCCATTTTGTGTGTGTTCTCTCTATTATTTAAACAAGCAATACAGTGGTTATAATAAGGAGGCCAATTTTCTGTGGTCAGAGAAGGGGCTTGGGATATAGTCCCAAAGGCCCGAGAAGCAGTCCCACATTTTGGACATGGTGTATGCTTCAGGCACCATGCTAGGTCATCACGGAAGATACCTAGGTAACAGGCCGGCGCCGCGGCTCACTAGGCTAATCCTCTGCCTTGCGGCGCCGGCACACCAGGTTCTAGTCCTGGTCGGGGCGCCGGATTCTGTCCCAGTTGCCCCTCTTCCAGGCCAACTTTCTGCTGTGGCCAGGGAGTGCAGTGGAGGATGGCCCAAGTGCTTGGGCCCTGCACCCCATGGGAGACCAGAAGAAGTACCTGACTCCTGCCATCAGATCAGTGCGGTGCACCGGCCGCAGCGTGCCGGCTGCGGTGGCCATTGGAGGGTGAACCAATGGCAAAGGAAGACCTTTCTCTCTCTCTCTCTCTCTCTCTCACTGTCCACTCTGCCTGTCAAAAAAAAAAAAAAAAAAAAAAAAAAAGGAAGATACCTAGGTAAGAAGTGGAAAGATCTGATCTCAAGGAACAGGACAAGTATAACAGCTCCAAGTTCTCAAAAGAGTGGGAATTAGAATTCAGCTTGATTCGGTGTAGTGCTTTGGGGAGAAATTGGATTACCAGGGGAAAGTTATAAGAAGAAGAGGATTTCAGCTTCTCATTAAAAATAGATTGCCCATGGGGTGGTGAGTTACTCATCACTGCAAGAGTTCGAGCAGGGACCAGAGGGAATCTTCGGAGATTGTAGGAGGTGATTCAGGCTCTGGGGAAGCAGCCTTAGCTGACTGCTGATAAGGCACCTCTCACTGTCTCTGCCACACCCTGATCCCATGGTTCTCAGGGCTGGACACTCATCCTACCACTCAACTACCATCAAGGACAGGCGGTTCACCTGCAGAACAGGATCTGTATGCCTATGTCTCCCTGACCAGGTGACTATGAAGAGTAATAGAAGGAAATTATATAAAGCAGTTTCAAGTTGCAAAGCATGAGTTAAATGTGTGTGTTCTAAAATCCTGCCGTGTATACTATCATCCAGCTCTGTATCATCATCATCATCATCATCATCATCATCATCTTCATCCTCAGAATTACATGCTTTTCCCTCATTTCTCCAAGTTTGGCTTTCCAGGGCAGGCGCCTAATCCTGTGACAACAAAAGGTGGAGGCCTCGCGAGAACCTGGGTGGCCCCTTAGCCTCTGACTTCAGTGCCGCCACCCCCAGCCTGCCCTCCTTTGTTTGTTCAGGCCAAGACAGCCCAGGTGCTTGCCCTTGGAAGTGACCCTAGGTGCATGGGAGCTGTCAGTGCTGGTAAACAGCACCTTTCTCCCCGAGCCGACGGGGAGACTCCTGGGCTGGGAGTTGGTCTTCAGAGTGGCGTGGTGGGAAGTGGGGTCTCTGGTGGTGCCACCTCGGCCTGCCACAAGCTCTGTGTGAGAGTCCGGTGAGCTGGGGGCCAGGTCTCTCCCCACCCTGAGGGTCATAGCAGCCTTGGGGGCACCCTGCTGCCTGTGCCAGTCTTGTCCTTTCTGTTTAACGGGCCTCGTTCTCCCAACTCTCATTTTTAGAAAAAAAAAAGGGGGGGTCTTACAAAACATCATTTTTTTTAAAAAATTATTTATTTATTTGAAAGGCAGTTACAGAGGAGACACAGAGAGAGAGAGAGAGAGAAAGAGAGCAAGTGAGCGAGAGAGAGCTTCCATCTGCTGGTTCACTCCCCAAATCTCTGCAGTGATAGGGTTGAGCCAGGCTGAAGCCAGCAGCCAGGAGCTTCTTCCAGGTCTCCCATGTGGGCGCAGGGGGCCAAGGACTTGGGTCATCTGCTGCTGCTTTCCAAGGTGCATTAGCAGGGAGCTGGATCAGAATTGGAGCAGCTGGGACTGGAGCTGGTGCCCACATGAAATGCTAGCACTGCAGGCCACGGCTTAACCCACTGCACCGCAGCACCAGCCCTGAAACTTAGCATTTTTCAATTCAAGTATTGTTTTTCACTCGGTCTGTTGAGCGCAATGGAAGTAGAGCTCTGAAGATTGTTCAGAGAAAAGCAAGAGTTGATTTCCTTGTCTCCTTGCCTATAAAATACTCCAGAGGCTTGCTCTTGATAGCTTCAAAGCTGACACATGCTAGTATTCTGGAATGAAATGGCTGCCTGATGCACCTTCCCCTACTATGTTAGGCTCTGGGGACAGCTAAATTATGGGGAAATACTAGAAGGGGGGAAAAACTGAAAAGAGCCCTGGAAATTAGGTGAGCTGTCCGGAGCCACAGTGCTGACACCATCCCTCTTTGTCTTTCCACAGCTTCTAGAGCTCCTCTCCAGAGCCACTCTCAAGTTATGTCCCGAGGACAGGCCCCTTTGGCTCCAACCCACACTCCTGAACTTTAAGGATCAGTGGGCCACCCTTCTCCCCATGGCCAGCCCGCCTCCCCGCCGTGTTCACAGGACGGTCCCTCACGCGCACCCCCTTCCCCTCACCCACCGGAAGCAGGCTCACTGGCAAGGTGGGAGCAGACACAGAAGGGGCCAGCACCAGAGCTACGCCGAGGGCCCTGTGTGGCTTTGGGAAATGCACTGTCCTGAGCCCTCTTTCTGAGAGAGGCAGCCAGAAGCACAAAAGTGTCCGCGCCTTACCAGCTGCAATCGTGAGCGTGTACGGCGGGGGTTACAAAAGCCACCTCACTGGGTTATTGTGAGCATTAGATGAACTGATTTAAATAAAGCACCTGCAACCCAGCACGGCGTCCAGAGAGCACCCGATAAACCCCTCAGCTCCCGGCCGAATGTCGTTTTCTTGAATCGTGCGAAAGGATCTATGGAGTCGGCTCTCTGGAAACTTGTCACTCGTGGTTATGTGTCATTTTTCCAGTCCTATTCAGTGTATGGAAGTAGAAATTTAAAAACCTTGCTTTCCCTCAGGCTTTTACACTCAACTTACCAATCACTTGTTCTGTTTATAAGCCTACTATTAAACTATTTTTAGAAAGTCTTTTTTTAAGATGTATTTATTTATTTGAAAGTCAGAGTTACACAGAGAGAGGAGAGGCAGAGAGAGAGGTCTTCCATCCACTGGTTCACTCCCCAACTGGTTGCAGCGGCTGGAGCTGTGCCAATTCGAAGCCAGGAGCCAGGAGCTTCCTCCGGGTCTCCCACGTGGGTGCAGGGGCCCAAGGACTTGGGCCGTCTTCTACTGCTATCCCAGGCCATAGCAGAGAGCTGGATCAGAAGTAGAATAGCTGGGTCTCAAACTGGTGCTCATATGGGATGCTGGCACTGCAGGCAGCGGCTTTACCTGCTACGCCACAGCGCTGGCTCCTAGAAAGAGTTTTTTTTACAAATGCAGTTAATTGGATTTCCTTAAACATTTAAAATATATATAATGTATTCTCTTTTCTTTTTTCCATGAATACTCGAACGTATATTCTATTTATCCGTTGCTGTGGAATACCTATCCCTAAACCATCACTTAATGGAATATCTTGCTCGTGACTGTGAGACGTGTCTGGATTCAGCAGAGTGGTTCTTACTCAGGATTTTTATGTCAATGTAGTCAGAGTTGCTGGGCCTAGAAGCCTCTAGGAGGTGTCCCCACTCACCAGCCTGGAGCCTAGACAGGCAGCAGCTCAACAGCTGAGGGCTGGGACAGTGCTGGCTTGCTCTCGCTCTCTCGCTCTCTCTCTCTCTCCCCTATTCATTGTTGTTGCTCTATAGCACTCTGTTGCATCATTATACCAAAGTTTACTTACCCATTCTACTCTTGACGGGCATTTGGTTTAACTTAAGGCAGTTTCCGATGTGCTGCTGTGAACATTCGTGTACGTAAGTTTGGGTGTACATATGCGCACATTTCTTGGGTGTTTACCTAGGCATTGGGTGTTCAGCCGTGGTAACACAAAGATTTCCTAGGTGGTTGTTCCAGTTCCCATTCCCACTAGCTGCATATGAGAGATTCCAGCAACTTCTCATCCTCCCCGGTAGTTGGCATTGCCATGTTTTCCCATGTTAGCCATTTGGGCATATACAGCAGCATATCATTGTGGTTTTAACTTTCATTTCCCTGAGGAATAGTAAAGTTGAGTGCTTTGCCTTCACCATATGGATATCTCCTATTGTAATGTGTTTGTTCTGGTTTCCTCTCCCTGTAGCTATTTGTGTGTATGCTTTTTCAACTTAAGGAAATTCTTTAAATATTTAGGTTAAGAGTCCGTGCTGGCTATATATAACCAAATATTTTCTATTTGGGGCTCTTTTTCTCCTCCTGTTTTGATGAACATAAGTTTTATAATTTAATATAGTAATTTATCAACCTTTTCCTCTGGTTGGTATTTCCTGTGTCGTGTTTAAGAAATCTTCCTCCTCTGAGGAGCCTCACCTATGTTATCTTCTAGACCTACCATCAGCCTGGATTTGGCTTTGATGTATGGTATGAAGGGAGAGTCAAAACTCATTATTTGCCATTGGATTTAATCCACTAAGCAACACTCATTGACATGATTGTCTTATCTCACGCAGTATTCAGTGTCCCTCTGTCATATAGCAAATGTCCCTGTATCTGTAGATCTGTTTCTGGATCTTCCATTCTGTCCCAATGGCCCATACTGCTATCCTTGACAATTCTACTTGGTTATAGTTATTGTAGCTTTATAATAAGTTTTGATATCTGGTAGTCTTCAAACTGTTCTTGCAGTCTTGGTTATTTGTGGCCTTTTCCTTTATATTTTCATATAAATTTTAGAATTGGTTTGTCAATTTGACAAAATAAATAAACCTTGCTGGCATTTTTATTATAATTTTTGTTCATACTAAGGGTAGAGTTGATCAAGAATTGAAATTTTTATAACATTCATTTTTCAATCCTTGAACAAAATTTGGCACTTTATCTATTTTGGTCTTTTTTATTTCTCTTGATAGTGTTTGTAGTTTTCTATGTAGATGTCTCTGCTTTTTTTTTTTTTTTTTTTTTTTGGCTTTGCATTTGCAGACTTTGTAGCTGAAGAAACTGGTTTGTTATCTTAGTGGCTATCCTGGGTTGCAAGGCCTGATTTCCATTTTTGGTATTCTTTTTATTTTTTTTAAGATTGTACATTTATTTGAAAGGCAGAATTACAGAGAGAGAGAGAGTGAGAGAGGGAAAGACAAGAAAGAGATCTTCTGTCTTCTGCTTCACTCCTCAAAAGGCCATATTGGCTGGAGCTGGGTCCATCCGAAGCCAGGAACCAGGAGCTGCTTAGTTCTCCCACGTGGTACAGGGCCCAAAAACTTGAGCCATCCTCCACTGCTTTCCCAGGAGCATTAGCAGGGAACTGGATCAGAAGTGGAACAGACAGCCTTCACCTCTGCATTTTTAAGGATTTATTTCTGATGCCGACGCTGTGGCATAGCAGGTGAAGCTGCTGCCTGCAGTGCCGGCATCCCATATGGACACTGGTTTGAATCCTGGCTGCTCCACTTCCGATCCAGCTCTCTGCTATGGCCTGGGAAAGCAGTAGAAGATGGCCCAAGACCTTGGGCCCCTGCACCCTCCTAGGAGACCTGAAAGAAGCTCCTGGCTCCTGGCTTCTGATTGGTGCATCTCCGGCCATTGTGGCCATCTGGGAGTGAACCAGTGAAGACGTAGATCTCTCTCTCTCTTTTTCTCCCTCTCTCTCTCTCCTACTCTCTGCCTCTCTGTAACTCTGCCTTCCAAATAAATAAGTAGATATTTTTAAAAGATTTATTTCTAAGTATTTGATGAATCTGATGTGATTGTAAATGCTGCATTTAATTTTTTAAAAAAGATTTACTCATGTATTTGGATAGCAGAGTGACAGAGAGAGGGAGAGAGAAAAAGAGATCTTCTATCTGTTGGTTCATTTCTCAAAATGATCACAATAGCTGAGGCTGGGTCAGGTTGAAGACAGTATCCAAGAACTCCATCTAGATCTCCTGAGTGAGCCGCCATCTGCTGCTTCGCAGGTGTGTTAGTAGGGAGCTGAATCGGAAGTGGAGAAGCCAGGTCTCAAACCAGCTCTCTACAGGGATGAGCCAAAAGGCCTGCTCCTCTGTTTAATTTTTTTTAACTTTCTAATTGTTTATTAGCCATGCATACATACAATCAATTTTGCTGTTTTACACTTTCATCTATGATCTTGATGGATTCCCTTATAAATGCAAACCATGAAGTCATTGTCGTAGATAGAGTTTTACCATCTGTAAATTATTTCTTAATTTCTGACCTACATCTTCCTCCTCCTCCCCTTCTTTTTCTCTTCTTCCTTCTTCTAATGGAGCCTGATGGTCCTGGGTGGGGCCTTCAGTATAGGGATAAACAGAAAGGGTGGTAGAAGACAACTTCCTCTCAGACCAGGCCTCAGGGAACAGGAAGGCTTCTGTGCTTTGCCATTCACACAGTGCATGCTGGTAGGTTTTTATCATCTCGCATCGGATTGAAGACGTCCTCTTCTGTGCCTAAGGATTTTCTAATTGTCTTTTGTGAATGAGTATTGAATTTCTGCACTTACTAGGATTATTTTTCTCCTTTATCCTGTTAATGTTTTAAGTACATTAATAGATATGCAACTGTTAAAACAACCTTGCATTCCTAAAACAAAGCCCAGCTCATTCTTGGCATGAACTCAGCTTCATCATAACACGTTTTCCTCTCTGTGTATTTCCCTCCTTATGTATTTCTGGGCTTGGTTTGAACATTTTTTGTTTTTGTTTAGAATTTCTGCACCTTTGTATGTTGTAGTATCATCATCAGGCTTTGGTATCACAGTTACGCTTGCTTTATAAAATGAATTGGAAAATCTCCCCCCCACCCATTGTCATCCACTGAAAGAGATCTTTGAATCAAATTATAGCTTTTGAACCCCATCCCATTTGCCTTGCCTTGCCTGCTCTCCCTGACTGTGTCTTCTCTTAGTTGCTTATGCTGCAAACCTGGGAGTTTTTCCATCAGTCCTATTAGTTCTGTCTTCAAAACATCCTGAACTCAACTCACCGTCTCTGCTGGTGCCACTCATTTCAAACCACCATTAAGTAATATCCAGATAAACCTCAGTTCATGTCCTGATTTGCCCTGTTCCTCTCTGTAATCAATCCCACTCACAACAAAGAGGCCACTTAAACAAGTATAAGACCTTATCACTGTCGAGCTCAAAATTTCAAATGACTTCCTATCACCCTTAGGATAAAACGCATGCTTCTTGCCATGTAGTATTAGTCAGGAGACGCTTATCACTACGTGGAGCACAGAGGTTTGTTTTTCTCTAACTCAAAATCTACCAAACAGTCTGCATGACTGAGAAGGTCAACCGTGCTTCCGGTTGGCCCTCTGTGATTCAGCCAACGTCGACCATCAGGCTGGACATCTGAAGGGAGAGACAGCTCAGCGCCCCTGTGCTGGCTCCTCCGTGCTTGGCTCAGGAGTGACACCCGTCCCACGTCTGCTCTGCTCGCAGCTCCTTGATTCAAAATAGGCACCTGGACGCCCTTAGGAATCAACGTGGAGCTCTGTGGATTAAAGGGACTGGAAGATGCGGGAAGGGAATGGAATGTTTGATGCGTTCCAGTCTTCCAGAGCACCTCTAAGCCTCGAGGCCCACCTGCCGCTGTCCCCTGCTACTTCACTCTGCGCTTGCACCTGCTCACCCTGTTGCAGCCACACTCGTCATTTTGCTGTTCCGCAGGCACACCTCACTCTTTCTGCATGTGGCCTGTGCAGGTGTTCCTTCGTCTGGAACACTTCTTACTCCTACCTTCGCTAGAAAGGCTGCTTCTGCTCTCTCAGTCCCCAGCTGGACTGTCCCCAGGCCAGCTAAGACGCCCGCCTCATTCACCATCACTTTCCATCCCTTGGCCTTTTGTGGACGGTCAGAGCTGGCTTTTCGTTTTCCTCTCCTTTTGGGATTCTAGTTCTGTGCTTGGTAGAACTTAGGGGTCCCACATGGCTCATACTGTTTTCTCATTTTATTCTGGAATTATGGTGTGTATCTATTCTGCCTCTCCCATGCACATTTTGCAACACAGCTCTCTTGTCAACCTTTGAGGGCTGCTGTGGAGAGTAAATAAAGAAATAAGCAAACATCAACAAAAAGCACAATGTTCCTTGTAAACTGAGTCTCAACACTACCTGGGGTCGCATCAGTGCCAGGCCTGGGGGTCCCCAGAGCAGGACTGTCCTTACAAACTATGGGTCCTGGGGGTAAGGGCCTCTGTCAATCCTTTTTTTTTTTTTTTTTTAAGGTTCAGACTTTACATGGGAGAAGTTGTGCTGTTTTACCTAATAGTTTATGGAAGACAAAAAGGCAGTTGGATTTCAATGAGCTTTTCAAATAAATTTTTAGGATTAGAAAATTAAAACCACAGCATCACTTTGGGTATTTGAAAAATAGCTTCCTATCTGCATTCAGAACACTTCCGTTTATTTAGTGCACACAAATGCTCGCCATGATATGGACTCGGATGCCTTGACAGTACCTCCACACAAGAGTCCTACACGTGTAAACAGAACGCCTGTGAGCCATAGCTTCTTATTTTTCAGTAATAAAGTCTGGCATGCAGTGAGATGAGCTCTGGCGAGGGGGGCAGTAAATAGCCAATTTTTTTTTAAAACAAAATATTTATTTATTTATTTGAAAGTCAGAGTTACACAGAGAGAGGAGAGGCAGAGAGAGAGAGACACTGGTTCACTCCCCAACTGGCCGCAATGGCCGGAGCTGTGCCGATCTGAAGCCAGGAGCCAGGAGCCTCTTCCGGATTCCCCACGTGGGTGCAGGAGCCCAAGGACTTGGGCCATCTTCTGCTTTCCCAGGCCATAGCAGAGAGCTGGATCAGAAGTGGAGCAGCTGGGTCTCATCCCTATAAGGGATGCTGGCGCTGCAGGTGGTGGCTTTACTCACTACACCAAAGTGCTGGCCCCAGTAAATATCCTTTTATCGCATGAATACCTAACTGAGTATCCACTGCTGGCAGGGCTGTTGCAGGGGCTTCCCTGCTGACTCCCTCCTCATCTCTGCCCTCAAGGAGCTAGAAAAGGTGATGCACAGTTTTCCAACCCTTCCCCATCCTCCCCACTCTCTCCACTGATGTCTTATTAAATCAAGTTCCATGGGCCTGGCTCCTATCTTTCCCAGGAGACTTTTCAGTGCCCCATTTAAGCAGGCATCTTGCAGCTCTCAAATAGTTTAAGGTGAAGCTGGATCCTTGACGCATAACCAAACGGGCGCCCTGCCCGTCTGCTGTGGCAGGCGTGACAGAAGCAGTCGAAATCGCTCCGTGAGCTACGCAGGCGCATCAGATCTCACTTCCCGTGGCTGAGATCAGGGAGGGCTCACGGGGACACTGACTTCGAGCCGTGCCTTAGAAGACAGAGTTTGGAAAGGCAGAGGCAGACCACGTGGGAGCAACGGTTCTTTAGTGGCCAACTGGGGACCTGCACTCTGATCCAGAGCCGATGGGAAGTGACAGAGCCCAGGGCAAACCGTGTTCATTGCAAATGCCTGCCTCTGGTGGGGTGCAGCTGTCTTGCAAGTATCCCTGCAGAGATACAAAGTCAGGAGGAGAGGAGAGGCCAGAGCAACAGCCAGTGGGCCCGTGAGGTGCACAGCCCAGAACCAGGTGACGAGCACAGCGAGAGACTGAGGGAAGTTGAGCCCTTCTGGGAGCTCCTGCCCCTGGTTTCCTGTAGACACCCACACAGATCTTGAGGATTGAAGAAGTGTGCGCAATGCTGTCAGCAGTTTCACTTCCGACTGTCGCTGACTTCACGCCTGGGCAGGTGCGGGTGTCTTGCGTGCAGAAATCTACCTGGAGCTCCTGAAACCTCATTTCACTTTTGGTTCACTTCTCTGACATGCTCCTTCTACACAACACACACTTGCCAGCTGTCACATGATGGCTTCCCTTCAGAAGGGACTGCCCAGGACACAATCAGCTCACAAATCAGACCACTCCAGGCTGTGACCAGAACCTTTGCTCAACGGCCCTCAGAAGCATCCCTCCAGGATGATGCAAACGTGGCCTCCCTGTCCCCACTCCCCACCACATCCTCCCACCGCTGTTTGCATTGACCCACCCCCGCCAGGACTCTGAGTGCTCTGGGACCGTGCCCTCAGCACTCACCTCACTCCCTACTGCAGGCCCCTGAGGGTTGCCTAGACTCTGTGGTCCCAGCATCCGGCACAGGGTCACATGCTTGGCACTAGTGAGGAATCCTTAGCCACTTGTTAGACTCAGCTGATAACCGGAGGTAGGATGATTCATGCACCCATTTCCCCGTAGGCAAGGTTAGCACTTGGGATTTTTGAGACATTGGTTCTACTTTCTAGTTTCCTTTTGCCTCTCTTCCCTATTCAAGCCAGGATCCTTTCTCTTTGACCCTTGGGTCACCGAGGAAGGAGGTATTGTCTTTCTTTCTCTCTCTCTTTTTTTTTTTAAATTGTTTATTTATTTATTTGAGAGGTAGAGTTACAGACAGAGAGGGAGAGACAGAGAGAGAGAGCGAGAGCAAGAGAGAGATCTTCCATCCGCTGGTTCACTCCCCAAATGGCCACAAGGGCCAGAGCTGAGGTGATCGAAAGCCAGGAGCTTCTTCCGGGTCTCTCACGTGGGTGCAGGTGTCTAAGCACTTGGGCATCTCCCACTGCTTTCCCAGGTGCATTAGCAGGGAGCTGGATCAGAAGAGGAGCAGCCAGGACATGAACCAGCACCCACATGGGATGCCGGCACCAAGGGTTAAGGCTTAGCCTACTAAGCCACAGCAATGCCCCTAGGAGATGATTTCTATGTGGTTTCTGCAGGCTCTGCCAAGTTGCTCAGGCCTGACGGCCCTCCCTCTCCTGCCCGCGGGCAGTTTGTCCCTCAGTCTCGCCCTCCCTGAAGTGCCTGAGAGGAAAACAAGAGCTCCTCTCCTGTATCCTCCCCAGTTTCTTCGCTTTTCCCCTGTACTTGGTTTATCTCGTCTCTTTTGCTTCCTTTCTCCCCCCCAAACTATCGAATGTCTATCTTGACTTCATCAAAAGCAATTATGCTTTTAAGAAGCTCTCCTATTTGTACCGTTAGCTTATCTAAGCCAGTGAGCCTCACCTGAACACAACTGAATATATAAAGGACCGTCAAAAGTTTATGGAAAATATGCATTCTTTAAAAACTATGCATGGATTTCAAAATTGTTTTGCACCAAAGTAAACATCTTTTAGTTCCATTTTCCAGTGGACTTTTGGAAGCGCCCTTGTGCAGGTTTAAGAAGGCCTTCATTTGTCATGTGTGTTGGGGGGGTGCTCATGATTCCAGTGTCTGGCCTGGTGGAGTGCTAGACCTCAGAGCTGCTGCTGGCATGGATGAGCCCTGGAGACCGCAGGATCCTGGGAATTCCCCCCTGGCCCTCAGTAGTGGAAGTTCATCACTCCCCTCCCTGCTTCCTCTCTGTCCACAGGGATTCTACTGTAATTACTTAGGTAGAGTAGTGATTCTCAGCCCTGGCTCTACAGTAAAATTAACTGGGAAGGTTTTTCAAAAATGCCAATGCCATAGACAAAACAAGATGGCCATGAAAGTTGGTAATTAGTGAAACTGGATGATAGGTACTTGGGAACTTGTTGTACTGCCTTTCTCATTTTATACATGTTCAAAATGTTCCATAATAAAAAATAAAAGTAAACTTATGGGACCAGCATTGTAGTATGGCAGGTATAACTGCCGCCTGCAATGTTGGCATCCCACAAGGGTGCCAGTTCACGTCCTGGCTGCTCCACTTCTCATCCAGCTCCCTGCTAATGGCCTGGGAAAGGCAGCAGAAGATTGTTCAAGTGCTTAGGCCCCTGCAACCTATGTAGGAGACCTGGATGAATTTCCTGGCTCCTAGCTTCAGCCTGGCTCAGCACTGGTTACTGTGGCCATCTGGTGAATGGAACCAGTGGATGAAAGATCTCTCTCTCTCTTTTCTGTAACTTTGACTTTCAAATAAATAAAAATAAATTTTAAAAATAAATACATAAAATATATTTATTTATATAAGTAAATGCACATGCATATGAAATAGGAAAAATACCAATGATTGGACCCACAGCAAAGCAATTAAAACAGAAATTCGGGGTGGGGGGCTGAGTGGGGAATTTGAAGTTTTAAAAGCTTCCCTGGGATTCTGAGGTCTGTGTTGGTTATATGGGGATATGAAAATAACAGAACTGATTATAGTAGCTGCCACTGGACTGTGACCTTTTGATGAAATGCTGGATGTGGCCTCTGATTCCTGATCTGGATAATTGGCCAAATACTCCTGGTGTGGCTACCAAGGCTATATTCCACCTGGTCTATACTGAAGGATTTTGAAGTAATTTATAGACCACCAACATTAGCTCATGGTAGTTCTTTTTATTATTTTCCTACTAATGTGTGAGTTTCCAGAGAAAAAGCCCTGTCTTCTTAGTATTTACATTCTCAACACCTGGCACATGGCCAAACACCTTGCCATTATTAGCAAGTGTTTGTTAAACTGAGTTTTTAAAAAGCAGAAGAGTATGGGATGATATGAGTAGGCACTGGGTTAGATGGCCAAGGTTGCAATTTCTGCTCTGCCATTAGCTTCGTGTCTGTGAGAGTCCTGAATCCACTCAGGTCCGAGGCATCTCCCCCACTCTTCCCT